ACTTTACATACATCACTGCTTTTAGTCAAAGCCCCTACAAGCGACTTTCATTTTGTGTTGATTCTGGGTGCCCCTGTGGACAAAAGTGTTACTGTTTCTACCGCCTCATTTCATTGATTTCAAGGGGAATCCAATCAAATCCAACCTGGTGGTAGGCATTAAGAATCTGTTAAACTTCCATAAAAGCAGGGTCCCAAATAGACCCAGCTCTCCTATACTAGCCTGTTGTGGCTACACATTTTGACAAATAAACGCAAGTCTCCAAAAGGCATGGTCTGGATGCATGGTCTCTTTCACACACATTCAGTGATGGCAAACTCCATCAAACAAAAAACTAACTCATTCACACACCGATGCACAGCATCTGGAGCAATTCAGGGTTCAGTATCTTGCTCAAGGATACTTCGACACAACACCAACCTTCCGATTAGTGGACAACCCGCTCTACCTCTGAGCTACAGCCGCCCATTGTTTAGATAAAAAGGTTTTTACAAAACTCAAGAGAAGCAGCACAGTTAGAGAGTATTTCCATCTGTGCTGAACAAGAATTTTGTGCTAAAGGGATTAAACGCCTGTCCCAAATAGAATAGCTGGTCTTGTACATACATAAACACTACCTCAACACTGCCTCAACACTAACTCAACAATACCTTAATACCACCTCAACACTGCCTCAACACTAACTCGATACTGCCTCAACACTACCTCAACAGTAACTTAACACTGCCTCAACACTGCCTCAACACTATCTCAACAATACCTCAATACCACCTCAACACTGCCTCAACACTAACTCAACACTGCCTCAACACTACCTCAACAGTAACTCAACACTGCCTCAACACTACCTCAACAGTAACTCAACACTGCCTCAACACTACCTCAACATTAACTCAACACTGCTTCAACACTGCCTCAACACTACCTCAACACTGCCTCAACACTACCTCAACATTAACTCAACACTGCTTCAACACTGCATCAACACTACCTCAGCACTACCTCAATACCACCTCAAAACTGCTTCAACAATACCTCAACAGTACCTCAACACTGCCTGGTTCAACAACAAGGCTTAAAGCCATTATGCCTGGTACCTTTTCCTCTATATTTTGCTGAATCTCAACGGCTGTGGCCACTAGTCTTGTGCCTCCCTATCTAGACTAGCTATGGATTCCAAATCCCAAAAATGAAAAGTCTGAAATAGAGAATTTAGTGCATAGAACTACACCAGTCTGTCAGTCTCAGAACAGATGTTAAAATATTACTGTTAGACATCAAAGCCCAGAGCAACCTGGCACATCAGTACTACTCTGACATGTTTATCTACCATGGACCTCTCTGGTCATCAGCCACAAGCCTACAACTAAATCTGATGAGTTGGCCTTTTGCCTATTCAGTCCCAGCACAGAGCCTGCTGACCTGAAGTCGTCCAAAACAGTAAACATTTTTAAAAGGAAGACCATTTTTTTCAACTGGACCTGCATCTGTCCTATATTAAGTAGTAGTAGTAGTAGTAGTAGTAGTAGTACCTTTACAGTTCCATTTGTGTAGCCCTGGAGTATACTTACAAGCTGCTTTTAACTTGTATGTGTTGTGTGAATTAATTTGAAGGACCATAATAAAATAAACCAAAATATGTCAGACACATCCAAACAGAGGACACCGTCTTCAAAATAGGCAGTTAAACAGTCTTCATCACTGACTGTGATTAGTCAAAATTATTAATTTAGCACTGATTAAAACAACTGTGTCATTTGTTAACACTGACACTGTTCATTTGACATTTGGCAGTATTTTAATGTTTAAGTTGCAACATGTAGCAAATATAACGGCACCCCATTTCTGTGTCTGTCTGTCTGTCTCTCTCCATAGTATTTGTGTCAGTCTGCTTTTCTTCATGCTGGTAATGAGAGGCTTCTTTTGCTGTTTCTCCAGATGTACCCCCCCCCCATCAGCCCTTGCATGCTGCCCTCCTACACATCACTTGCCACCCAGTGAGTTGTTTAAGCCTAAATGGGAGTGACTGGAGTTATAGGGAGGCACTAGGACTAAAAAAGAAGTATAATGCTGTACTGTAGCATAGCCAGTACTGCACAGTTCAGTACTGCATTGCAGCCCAGTCATTAAAATCACTGATCTGACAAAATCCACACAAAATGATAATGATAAAAAAATAAAAGCAACACATAGCCATAAAAGGTAAAACACACTGTTCCATGTCTATATAAATTATATCCTTCACTGACAGGAGATGATCACCTGTACAGAGCCCACACAGGATCAAAAACACCAAACTGACAGGACATTGGATTTTATTTATTGTCACTAAAAGTATAATTATGATTCTTTACTCAAGTAAAAGTGAAAAAGTACAGTGCTCTGAAAATGTACTCAAAGTATAAAAGTAAAAAGCACTCTCTTGGTTTCTCTCAAGAACATTTCTGCTGTCTGTGTCTGTGCAAAGCTAACTGAAACATTAAAAATGGTTAAGTCTCCCTCTCTGTCTGTTTTGTTTTTTACATTGTTTTTGTAGTTTTCATGTGATATGCACTGATTTCTATCTTGGGAAGGACGCAAAAAATTGCATAATCATTTAGAATAACAACAATTCCTATAAAATGCATTAAAACTAAAGTTACAAACTTGTTTTAAAAATATAAGGAGTAGAAAGTACTGATAGCTGTGTCAAAATGCAGGGAGTAAAAGAAAGTCAGAAAAATAAATACTAAAGTACAGAGTATTTGTACTTTGTTACTTCCCACCTCTGCTTTCATGACACACAACAGAACTCACAATGAATAACAAATTTTTCAGGGATTGTGAGCCTCCTATAGCCTCTTAATACTGCCGCCTATGCACTAGAGTGCTACTTTAAGGGCAGGTCACGGTTGATTTGAAGGGATGTAAGAACACTAAAAATATACAAAATATACACAGTATGCCTATATCTCAGTATTTATTTCTGGGTAGAAAATTAAAAGAAGTTGTTATTTTTAAAATGTATATTATTATTTAAGATCTAAATTTTAAAGAGCTGCTATAAGTCCAAGCTATATTCAGTCTTCACTCTGATAAAAAGCCTCGTTCTGCATTAGAAAGGTTCAAACAACCAAAGAGCTAATAGAAGAATGAGAAGAAAACACTGAATTCTATTAAGTTTGTCTGATTGTTAAAAAAAAATGCATTATAGAGACTTTAGTACAAAATGGAGAATTGTATAACTCATCTCTGATTAATAATCTCTTGTTTTACACAAACTGTTATTATGTTCACTGTTTGGGTTCATTGTACAGTTTATCAGTTGTTCTCTACTGTTATTGTTATCATTGAATATGACAGGGCTCCCTTAAGGGGAAAGATTGGGAACCACTGATCTAGAGAACAGAAGGGAAGAGAGAGAAAATCATATGTCTAGTGTGTTAGCAAACATTTGCTTCCTTCAGAGACAACTACACGTTGTTACACCTAGGGTTTATTTTTGTAGGGTCATTGGTTTTATTGGTCATGATAACATTGTACTCTGCTGAGATCTCAGAATTCTATGACTTTGCTAAAGGTAGCTTCAACAGGGCAAGAAACATGCACGACTGAGACTATATCTGGAGGTGACCAAAAATATCCCTAATAATCCCTCATTGAAAACTGTGTGCACAATTACAGTAAGTAAAGTAGAAGTTGAAGCACAAAGTGGGTATGAGTTTGTTATTTTTCTACCAAATATGTTTGGATAAAATGTTGATAAAATTGAAATGGGAAAGTTGTAATAAACTGTAGTTTTTCTAAAAGGTGTGTACAGGCTGTTACAGGCAGTGTAATTGAATACAAAGTTAATGAAAGACAAGATAATTTGATGCAAATTCTCTCTAGGGAGCACATGTTAAAGCCCATGTGATAAAAGTACAGAGACAAGAAGAATGGGGAGGGAAACTAGAGGAAAATAACAGAAAGAATTGGATATCCTAGTTTTTAGATCAACAGAGTTACACAAACACACACACACACACACACACACACACACACACACACACACACAGGCACACTCCATACACACGGTAGGTATGGGCTGTATGTTCTCTGATAGCTTATTTCTCTGGCAGTTTATGTGCAGCCATATTGATGGAAGATGGTCCAATTGTCCAACATGTGCAAATGTATCAATCTGAATGCATGCTTAAACCTTTCAGTGGCAGTGAGAGCCATTGGGACTTTTTTTATATTAAAGTCCCCCTCCAGTCAAAAACGAATGAGTGTGAAAACATCTTGTTTTCACATTCATCTACTGAAAGTGCAAAGTTTCTCTGTTCTGATTGAAAATCTGATTTTAAGGGACGGTTCCTGGTCCAGTATGCAACTTGTACAGTGTGATGTAGAAACTTGAAACCACCAGTGCACATACACTGAGAATGGACTGTACAGTGAAGTAACAGACATTTTGTGTCCAGCAGGAATTACTTTAGAAATTAACAAAATTGCTGGAATTTTTAATGAGGTAGAAGGAGTAAATGATTTATATGGAAACTATATTTTTTGTGGAAAAACAGATTAAACATTGTTCCAAGCATAATATTGCATATGTATCTTAATACATGTTTGGAGGGAATCTTCAATATTATTGAAACAGTCATGAAGCTCATCAAAATATTACAGAATATTAGAGTCAAAAGTCAAACTTACCATCCACCATGTCTTGGCAGTGACATCATAACAAAGTTGCCACTTTACTGAGCTGTCTGCTTCGCTGCAGCCTCCTGGCGTAGCTGACATTGCCATGACAACAGGGGGGAACCGTCAAAATGTCAAAAAACCATGGCTCTGGAGTAAAAAAGGGATGCGTGGTAAAACGAAGAGACTAGAGGGCTTTTGTAGCAGTATGGTGTTGTGCTTCTGTTGCTATCCCAGCCTTTTCCTAGTTTGTTGGACAGGATCTTTGTGAGTTCAGTTCCAGTCCCTGTAAATCCCAGTTGTAGTTGACTCCTTACACAAAAAGAAAGTTCTTTATTGGTCAATTTTGCTTCCAATGGGAACAATTGTAATTAATGAATAAGAACTTCAGCTTCAATACAATTAAGGTCTGCTATGTTTTACTTTCAGTAAAATGAAAGAGCTTTACATAGATTCTGTTATTTAAGTGAACATTTAAAGATATGTCTGAAATCTGTGGACCTTCTGTGTTCCTTTAAAATAAGGTCCTCTTGGTTCAATGCATTAATCCAGTCTCAGAAACTCAGAAAACATTTTTCTCTCACAGAGGATGTTTTAACCACAGAGCTTACACAATTTACACCAAAAAAAATACACCTTTGAACTACAGTCATCCTGTCAGATTCAGCACCATTTCTCCTTTCAGTACTGCTGGACACCTAAAACAATATTAGGTAAACATTTTCAAAAGTCCCATGTGTTGCAGCTGTCCACCTATAGAAATTCTCCATACACTGAGCTTCTTACCTGCCACTCTAAGCTGTGGTCCTCCTGCCTCCCACAACTTCATGTAATTCCTCTGCACACCACAGAAAAACTTTTACAGTAAAAGATTCATACAGCAGCAAAAAACAAAATTATTTTGGTTGGATCAATTTCAGATCAAGCAATACTTTATGTACTGCTTTTGTTAATTAGGCCTCTTACTGATTGTCCCCACATATAGCTCTGTCCCACTGTCTTAGTCCTGAATAGATTCCAGTGTTGTTTCTCCAGCTCCTCTCAGCACCTGTCCAAGTCCAACGATGTCTTCACAGAGGGATTCCCAGTTCCCAAGTCCAATCATGTTCCAGTCCCTCTGTATTATTTAAGTGGAAAAAGGCACCAGCCACCGACCAAACCAGCCAGCCAGCCACCCCCTTTCTTGATTCCAGTGGGCTGTCATTCTGAAGAGGCGGCTTAGGAACTAGCAGACACACACAGGCACACACAAGCACACATACATCAAATGTTTCTTACCAGCTGTGTAAACACACACATATATGGTTTTTTCAAAAGACTTTCATCATATAGTTTTTTAAAACACAAATATAAGGTCAAAACTGTTTTTATCATGACATGGTCTGTCCTTGTGTCTGTCCACTGTGACTCAGTGCCCATTTCAAAATAATGGCACTGACCTTTCTCTGTTTGCCTCGCTCTCTCACTCCCTCTTTCCATCTTCCTCATATCCTCTGAACAGAAAGGGTTCTGCAGGGGATCTCAAATGTTTCTGTGACTGTGGATGACGGATGAATCCTTCAGGGTGCCACTGAAAACCCTTCAAGAAAGCATAATATGTTCTAAATGACTTTGGTATTGTCCAGTAATACACTGTCAGGAACAAGCTAGCTATCCCTTCTTATTAATCCCATTTGTGAAAATCCAATAACTATAAAGTCAGAATCAGTTTGACAAAATAATCATAAAGGAATGCTAAATATTTTGAGAATTATGCTTGACTTTTTTATTTCAAGAGTGTCTGAAGTACACAGCTGGTGTCAAGACATGGTTATCCTAGTTTAGCATTAAGACTGGAGGCAGGCAGTTCACCTGCTCTGTGGAGAGTTCAAAAATACACCTACAAACACTCTAAAGCTCACTAATTTACATGATACACTGTTAAATCCATACAGAAACACTAACGTAAAAAATAAAGGTTTGTGGTGGAATTATATGTTGGAACTATTGTATACTACTATAATCACCTGAAAATAAGAACCAGTTACCTAAGAATGAGACATTTCTATCTGCACAGGGAGTGGGCCCTGCAATCTGCAGTCACACAGCTAGATGCCACCAAATCCTACACACTAGTCCTTTAACCATTTATAGGGCACTCATTGAAATACTTTAATTTACCAGTTTAAAATGTCAACCCTTTTTTGATTTTTTAAAAAAAGTTTCAGTTTTAGGCTGAAAATCAAAGTCAATTATGTCTAGGTGGGCTGGCACAACAACAATCTGTGACACAGCAGGCCTCCTCTTCCAATAGAAGGACTGAGCAGATATTCATTCATCTTCATCCGCTTATCCGGGGTCGGGTCGCGGGGGTAGCAAGTTCAGCAGAGGACCGCAAACTTCCCTTTCCCTGGCCACATCGGCCAACTCTGACTGGGGGATCCCGAGGCGTTCCAAGGCCAGTGTTGAGATATAATCTCTCCACCTGGTGCCTGGTCTGCCCCGTGGCCTCCTCCCAGCTGGACGTGCTAGTAACACCTCCCTCGGGAGGCACCCTGGAAGCATCCTCATCAGATGCCCGAACCATCTAAGCTGACTCCTTCCGACGCAAAGGAGAAGCGGCTGTACTCCGAGTCCCTCGCGGATGTCCGAGCTTCTCAGCCTATCCCTAAGGAAGACGCCGGCCACCTTCCTGAGGAAACCCATTTCGGTCGCTTGTACCCGGGATCTCGTTCTTTCGGTCACGACACATCTCTCATGACCGTAGGTGAGGGTAGGAACAGACTCTCTTTTCGTGACAACAGTGCGATACAGGGACCGCAATACCGCCCCTGCTGCCCCGATTCTCCGGCCAATCTCCTGCTCCATTCTATCCTCACTCACTAGAGTAAACTTTCCCAGGGAGGCTGAGTAGTGTGATGCCTCTGTAATTTGCACACACCCTCTGGTCCCCCTTTTTAAATAGGGGAACCACCACCCCAGTCCGCCACTCCTTCGGCGCTGTCCCTGACTTCCAGGCAATGTTGAAAAGGCGTGTCAACCAAGACAGCCCCTCAACAAGTGGCTTTGCCACTGTGGAGTTGTTTGACTACCTCAATGACTTCCCGCAGGGAAATTGATATAGATCCCCCATCCCCCAACAGCCCTGCCTCTATCACAGAGGGCAGGCTTGTTGGTCTTGTCGGGTTCAGGAATTCCCCAAAGTGTTCCTTCCACCGCCCAATTACCTCCTCAGTTGAGGTCAGCAGTGTCCCATCCCTGCTGTACACAGCTTGAATGGTTCCCCGCTTCCCCCTCCTGAGGTGTTGGACAGTTTTCCAGAAGCACCTGGGTGCCGTCTGAAAGTCCTTCCCCATGACTTCTCCGAACTCCTCCCGGTGTGGGAGACCAGCTGTTTTGCTTCCCTCACAGCTGCGGCTGCAGTCCTTCAGGCCTGCCGGTACCCTGCAACTGCCTCAGGAGTCCCCCGGGATAACATATCCCGGAAGGCCTCCTTCTTCAGTCGGACGGCTTCCCTGACCACTGGTGTCCACCACCGTGTTCGAGGGTTACCGCCCCTTGAGGCACCCAAGACACTTAGTCACTTAGAATAGAAGAAGAATAGAAGCTTTGAACATCAACCACTCCGGTTCGATGTCCCCCGCCTCCACAGGAATGTAGGAGAAGCTCCGCCGGAGGTGGGAGTTGAAGGTCTCTCGGACAGGGGCCTCCTCCGGACGTTCCCAGTTCACCCATGCTACACGTTTGGGTTTACCAGGTCTGTCCAGTGGCTTCCCCCGCCACCTAACCCAACTCATGTTCGTAGAGGTCTCCCAGGAGAACGATGGAGTCCCTTACTGGAGCCCTATACAGGACTTCATTCAGGGTCTCCAAGAAGGCAGAATATTCTGCACTGCTGTTTGGTGCATAAGCACAAACAACAGTCATAGTTCCACCCCCCACAGATCGTAGGCGTAGGGACGTGACCCTCTCGTCCACCGGGGTGAACTCCAACGTAGAGGCACTCAGCCGGGGGCTAGTTAGTATCCCCGCACCAGCCCAGGGCCTCACACCTTGGGCAACTCCAGAGAAGAATAAAGTCCAACCCCTATCCAGGAGTAAGGATCCAGAGTCTCGACTGTACGTAGACGTAAGCCCCACCAGATCTAATCGATAGCGCTCCACCTCCCGCACCAGTTCCGGCTCCTTCCCCCCCAGCAAAGTGACATTCCACGTCCCCAAAGCCAGCTTTTGCTGCCTGGGTCTGGTCTGTCTAGGTCCCCTGCCTTTACTGCCACCCATTTGGCATCGCACCCGACCCCAATGGTTTCTCCCGCGGGATGAAGATTCTTAGTCTGGCCCCTCACCTGAGACCACTTTGCCTTGGGAGACCCTACCAGGAGCATGTTGCTCCCGACAACACAGCTCCCAGGTTCATAGAAGCACCCAAACCTCTCCACCGCGATAAGGTGATGGTTCCCGGAGAGGTAGCAGACAGCTGCTGCAAAAGAATATGCCACATCAATATACTATATAAATATATAATAAATAAGCCATAAGCAAATCAAGATCAAGCCCACTTTGAGATATTTGTGAAAGAAAGCTGTAACAGTGAAGTGTATATTAGTATATCACCTATAAAGAAAGTTTGATAATAATCAAATTATTTTTTAATTAAAATAATAAGGGGAGGCTCCTCTAATCGGAAGGTTGTTGGTTCGAAACCCTGGCTCATGCCGCAACATGTCAAAGTATCCTTGAGCAAGATACTGAACCCTGAATTGCTCCCGATGCTGTCCATCGCTGAGTGTGTGAAAGGGTGAATGTGGCATGTAGTGTAAAAGCGCTTTGAGTGGTCGGAAGACTAGAAAGGTGCTATACAAGTACAGGTCCATTTACCATTTACCATTTAACTTTACAGGACGGATTATATTATTATATTATATATTATTATAATATTAAACAATTTTATAAGGAGAACGGTCTAGACATGCTCTATTTGAAAAGTGTCCTGAGATAACGGTTTCACACCATTTTTTACATCATGTTGAGGGCTGGAAGGAGGGGGGTGGAGGGCCAAGCTGGCAGTTTGAGATTCCTGGTGTAGGAGAAACTACAGTGGGTGCAAAAGAACGTGAAAGAAGGAAGGACCTGCAACTGCAAGAACCGACAGAAAGTTAGTCAAAACATTTTTCTTACAGCACCTTTAACTGACAAAGATCTCTTGCAACTGTGTAACATATGACTGTTGTCTATCAAGAACACAGTCAGAAGTAGTGTATTGTTTATATAGAGGTTGTGGTGGGTTAGCAAAGTGTTACTGTGACATAGGGGCCCGCTGTTTGTTTCCTGCCAACAGTCAAGTTGCTTTCCATGACTACTTTCATGACAACCAAGTCATTCTTTTTTTAACAAGGACTGCCCAGGCTCCCTAACCTTAACGATAGTTATTTTCACCCAAACCTTAATCATTCCCCAACCTTAACCAAGTACTGTCTGCATCTAAATCTAACCCTTGACCATAGTGGTTGCAGATCAGAAAATGCTCCTATAAATCTTTTTGTAATAGTGATTTGTATCATCTGAGAAGGCACTGGTTGGTGGCAGAGTCAGGCTGTTTGAGGGGCAGGGGGGAAAAAATAAAAAGGGCACCAGTGTGCTGAAAGTAGTGATGCATTTATGGTGAAACAGCTTCGTCAGGGTTAGGATTAGCACCCTAGAGAGCACTATATTGTGTGTTGACCATTGGAAGGTAACCATATAGGGCATATATCAGTGGCACAGGCAAACTATATTGTCCTGTCAATACAGGCATCAAATCCAAAAACACTGATATGGGTCATTCATCTAATGCAGAATGAATAGTAACTTCTTAATAAACAGTTCTTTGTAAATCAACCAAGTCACAGTGTTTCACCCTCAGCAGAGAACCCTTGTGTAGAGGACCGGTGGTTTTTCAGAGTGTGGTGACAGTGTGGTCAGGTTAGTGTCTATGTCAGCCCACAGAGCTAGGGCCTTCTAGCTGAGGGCTTGAGGTCTCAGGATCAGACAAACCACAGCCCACTATGGAGAAGGTCAGGACTCCTCCACCAAATGTCACACTGCTGTTTTAGGCTCGCTTTTAACTGGCATAATTATTTATGGTAGCCTTGCTCTTCATTGTCCTTTTCAGTGGATTTTTACATTATATTTACGTCTGCAGGAGAGGAGAGGGCTGAAACTTAAACTTGAGGGTTTAGCTATGTGAAACAACCCACCTCCCACCACACACATGCACATAAACTAAAACACAATCTTGTAATTAGTAGTGCAATCAATCAACTCCCAGCTTTCCACCCCCTGAGTTAATTAGCCAATTAACCGCCCTCGGAGGTGTAAACAGCCAATCAGGCTTAAACACAGCAGCCCTAAACCAATCACAGTGTTGGTCAAGAAGAACAACAGAAGATATAGAGATAAAATTACAGGAAAGAATACAAACACACACACACACACACACACACACACACACACACACACACACACACACACACACACACACACACACACTCCATTACCCCAAACCCTGAACAGACCTCACACTTGAATGACAGAGCAGAACAGCCCTTTGTCCTCTCTGTGGCTTTAAAATCTGCTGCACTTTTTCTGTCAATGCTCAACCTTGATCCATTGCTGCTCCCTCTCCACACCACACATGCTCCATAAAAACTGCTTGCATGTATGTTTAAGTTTAGTTTAATTGGAACAGCTATATTTAGTAGTTTAGCAAGCTTAGCAGACATATATTTAATTCAGTATCATTGAACAGAGATTGAAAGTCGGTTTGGACTTTATGTAACATTTTCTGTAAACTCTGATAGCTGTATGAACAGTGGTCATGGCTGGATTTATCTATTTAGGGGCCCTTTGGTTAGTGTTTTTTGGGTCCCTATTTATCCCACAAGAGACATGAACCCCCCCAACAGAACTTAGTTGCAGACAAGATGGGAGGTGTCAGCCACAATGGTTATCCTTATACAGGACTTCTGGAAATGGAAGCCTTTTCTTTATTATTTCCTTTGATTTTTTTTCTTTTGTTTATATGAAAGGCGTATTACTGAAGTCTTTCTACTGAATAATACACAGAAGACCTAGGAGTATAACTGAGTAACGTTTATCTGACATATTCAGCAGTGAAGAACATGTTTAGTTATTAGTTTGCCAAAAAGGTCAAATGGGCTCTTTTTTACATCTTTAACTATAACGATAAGTAATATACTGTAGATTTCAACAAGACTTTTATTGCTACAGTAGAAACATGGTGGTTCAACATTGTGAAGTGATTATACACTCATTAAATACCTATGAATATTATATTCCATTTCTGCCAATAGAGCCTCCTAAATGTTACACACTGGACCTTTAATAGTTGTTTCCACCCAAATATTGCTTTACGATCGGAAAATAAAATTTCAGATTATTCTAAGACCACATATAGCAGTGGTTACATTCAAGATCAAAATGGCTAACGTTACCTCAACTCAGAGGAACGACTCAATCCTGTCCAGCAATACTGTTCAGTCATTGTAGTCAGGAGGATAAATTGGCAACTGAAGTATCAGGACCACCCAGACCATATTTCCCTGGTAACACCTGGAGCAATCATTACCATCCCACAAGGTCAGTGGTGTAGAGGAGATACTAAATCCCTTCCCCCTCTGATGCTCATCATTCATAGTTGTCCAATTTTCATGAATGGATGGAGTAAGGAATACTTCATTCAAAATGCATAATTATGTAGTTTCTCACTCATATGTAGGCCAGTAACAATTGCAAAATCTGTGCTTCTTCTGTGGCTAATGGTTATTTCACTACCATTAGCTAAATATGCAATAGTAGTTACATGTCACTGTTTATAATACAGGGAGTTCAGCCACTTGCTGGATAGACCGCTTAAAAAAAGAAGGTATAAATTAAGAATATTCACACTTCTCTAGGTACCACTACACTACTGCACAAGGTTCTTATGCAATGGAAATGTTGTTCACTACTCCAGTAAATAGGACAAACCTTAGATACAATTTGGCAACAGGAGATATTTTTATTGTCCGTTCAGCTCCTAAGCCCTTTGGCTGAGCTATGAGCCAGAAAGCTAACATTACACAAGCAACTTAAAGTCAATAACAACAGTAAGCCTAATTTGACAATATGTTTATAGCTAGCTATCCGGCCATGCCATTGTCCCAAAATCAACACTTTCACCAACGAATGATAGGCTACATGTAACTTACTGTCAGCCCCAGCCTTGAAACAGTGAGTTGAACGGTAAATGGAATGTGAGTTTATTTAAAGTTTAAAGTTCAGAGGGGCAGTTTAGTTTTTGCAACTTGTTTATTGTTTGGGACTGCCCTCTTTTCTTTTTTTTGTTGATGATGGTAGCGAGTGCTATCTACCAAAATCTTCCATAGGTCTTCAGTTGGGTTGAGATCTGGGGACTGTGAAGACCACAGCATATAATTCACATTATATTCTATAAACAATTCAATTCAATTCAATTCAATTCAATTTTATTTGTATAGCGCTAATTCATAACAAAAGTTATCTCAGGACACTTTTCAAATAGAGCAAACACCATTGTTCATTTCCATATATCTGTACAGAAGCATCTCTTTTCACTATAATTCTTATTTCCTTTAACTACTCATCATCAAAAAACAGAATGTAATTGAAAAATACAATCATATCCGGGGAGTTATTGAGCAGGTTTTAGGACACAACAGCAACAGATGACTGAGCTATAACAATAAAAGAAATATAAAAAAAAATAAAAAACCCAGTAAGATTCAAGAGAATTAATTTAGTAATACTGCTGCTGAGGACCATGAATTAAGATGAACTACTGTTCCCCAGGCCAAAAAGGAACCATCACACTCAGAAATATAAAAACATGAGTTATCTGTAGTACTGTAATATGGTAGTTCTAACAAGTAAATACTACAGTTCTGTTACTGGAGCAGCAGTGATGTAAGTTGTTATATCATTTGTTTTGTGCTTAGTACTATGCAGAGTTGTTATCTGTGCTATGGGCCCCTCTGGTGGTGATAAACAATTAGAGCAGTTCATTAATGTGGAGAACAGGATGGAAGTAGCCCCAACACTTACACTGAGTGAAATATTGAAACCTTTTATGGCTGCACCATTCCATACAATTAACATATTATTGTCTTATGCAACATTTTAACATTTGTTGCCCAGAAGGCTGGAGTTTGGGAAGTGGATTAAAATGATTATGGTTTATGATTTAGGTTTATCTGTATTTCTGTATTTTAGAATAAAACGCAAATAAATTTTTTCTTTTTTCATTTCTGTCTCTAAAATGGAAAAAGCAAATAAACACAGCTCAAGCCACTTTACATTTAATATAACAAACACAGCAGACATTCTTAATGGCTCTCACTAAACTCCATATGCCTTCTCCTCCGCCTTGTCAGAGCAAGTGAAGTGAATGCAGCCATATTCTTCATCAAATAGAGCACTGATAGAACTGTCAGGAGTGAGTAAGTGACTTTGATTTGATAGCAGAGTGGTGGTCTTCAGTTGGGTTTCTACAGATTGGTTTGTTTCATATCACCGTCATCTGTCTCTACACCCTTGTCATAACCCCAGCTCTCATCATCCTCTCTGCAACACAAGAAAACACAGAAACTGACCATCTTAGGGTTATCCAATTACAATAGTGTCTAAAACATCTCTCCTGTACTAGCTTCTCTGCATTGGCTCCCTGTAAAATGTAGAATAGAATTTAAAATCCTCCTCCTCACCTACAAAGCTCTTCATGGTCAGACCCCTTCATATCTTAAAGAGCTCATAGTACCCTATTACCCCACTAGAACACTACGTTCTCTGAATGCAGGGCTACTTGTGGTTCCTTTAGTCTCTAAAAGTAGAACAGGAGCCAGAGCCTTCAGTTACCAAGCTCCTCTCCTGTGGAACCAGCTTCCAGTTGTGGTTCGGGAGGCAGACACCCTCTCCACATTTAAGAGTAGGCTTAAGCTGTTCCTCTTTGATAAAGCTTATAGTCACCTAGAGCCGAAGGTTCTGTCCGAGGTTTCTGCCTCTTAAAAGGCAGTTTTTCCTTGCCGTCGTCACCAAGTGCTTGCTTATGGTGGTACTGTTGGGTCTCTGTAAATAATGTTATAAGGAGTTCGGTCTAGACCTGTTCTATTTGAAAAGTGTCCTGCAATAACTTTTGTTATGAATTGGGGCTATACAAATAACATAAAATGTAATTGAATGCAGTTACTACCGGTAATGTAAAAATGTCAGAACCTAATCCAAGTATCAAAAAATTAAAGTCACATAACTTGATTGCTTTTCATTACTTTTGGATTACCTCAACATAAAATATGCAAATACAAATGATTGAAAAGACAAGAAAAAAACAAAAGAACAATGTATCCTATGAAATGAAAATGGAAAGATTTTTAGGATCCACAACATATCCTCTGCTCTGAAAAACTATAATAATAAATAATCTAATAATAATACAGTCTTATTTCTGTAGTGGGTGACAGTTACCTTTTCTTTGCATCCTGATTATGTAACTCAGTTACATGTAATCTGTTACTCCCCAAGTCTGCATATACACCAATACCAATACGATATGAATATGAAGCTCAATATGAAGCTCAGCAAACAAAGGCAAGTTCTACAGATCTATGGAAAAGTACAATGCTTTGTAATATAGTAACGGAATTTACAAGAATGTACATTAATTTCTGCATTGTTGTGTGTATGAGGCTGTGTGTGTGTACCCAACCTGTTCTTTCTGAGTAGTCTGCGAACAATCAGGATGGTGAAGACGATAAAGAGGAAACCAACAACAGCGGTCAGAGCCACCAACCATGGCTGAAGAGTCACTGACTGAGATCCTGATTCTACTCGTATGCCAGTCTGCACACCTGAACGAACACACACACACAAACACACACACACACACACACACACACACACACACACACACACACACACGCGGGCACACACACACACACACACACACACACACACACACACACACACACACACACACACAATTTTCATATTTCTCAGAATAAATACCATGAAGATGAAGTATGGTTAGACGATATGTGAGCATTAAAGTCTAGATAAGATTGGAATTTGAAGTGCCATTACAGCTGCACCTTAAAACTGAATAAAACGGCACTGCCATATTTGAGATGACCCTTTTCTGTTTTGAGCCATGTTGAAGACAACAGAAAAATTTTACCTTTGTTGGCAGAGCAGCTGGCAGACAGTAGCACACACAACACAAGAAAAGACAGATTCATCCTGAATATAATGGACCACGTCAACTAATGCAGAAAACACACTGGGTTTGGACCTTCAGCTTACACACACCTAACTCTTAATTGTGGTCAAAGTTCACAGTCCAGAGGGAAGTTGTCACAGCAACCTGGGTGTGTGTTATCTACTGTGAATTCCTGTATACTACATGCTACAAAACATGAAGCCACATACAAGAGATCACAAGCTCTGATTGTCTGATTTTCTCTCAGAAACTACAGTGATTGAATTTCCATAAATAATCCAACTGTTAATGTGTTTATTCACACCACCACACTATGGAGCTTTTTATTACACCAGAAGTTAGTATGACGGGCTGTATAAGCGAAGTATTGCATATCAACCTTTTCCATCAACCTTTGCTTATTTCCATTTCAGTTACAGTAAGTTGTCACATATCACATGTGATAAAGGAAGCCTGCAACTTTGTTTCAGAATATATGGCTTGTAAGAACAATATAACTGCTATAATGGAGGCCCAAAACATAGATTTTAACTTGGAGCCACTCTACAAGACTTTAAGATTGTATAATTATGTGGGCACCTATCATTTCAGTGCATATTGTATGGTAGTGGTGCATATAGTATTACCAGTTCAGATCCCCGAGGGCCTGGGGGATAATTCAGCCTTGTGTGTACAGATGCACTGATCTAACCTTTCCTCTCCATATATCAATACCAATACCTCAACTCAGGGTTCCTGCAGATACAGAGAGTCAATCCTACACCAGTGTTCTTTTCAATTCTTTTTCAAGCGTAAAATCTGTATATCTCAGTGCATGGAAGCCATTGGGATCATTTTTATGTAGCATCAGGTAATATGTAGCAACAGGAGTGAAGTGCTGCCTTAACTGAATGGACTCTAGGTCTTTAGCAGATCATGATAAGATACATAAGAAACTTCCAAATACCCTGTTAATCATTATGTATTGATCGGATCTGACATATCTTTGAATCAACATATTTAAGACTTTCTTAATGAGCAGTTTTCTGATTAGCTCTGAATCTGTGTCCATGACTGTAATGACTGAATTAAATGAAAGGAGGCGGTGAAAACACTACCTCTTTTGTCCGCAGGAGCCGCCAAAATCAACACAAAATTAAAGCTCAATATACAGTCTATCTTTGGCAGTGGCTATAATGTAGGCGTTAATGTATGACTTATTACAAGGCGTTACGTCTTAAATCACGACAAATAATATGGTGTAATGATAGAGTACAGTTTGACTTGTACTTTGTGCAGGTTTGAAGCAAGTCTTTAGGCCGTTTGGATTAAGGAGACGATGCCTTTATTCTGAAGAATTCTACCGGAAGAGATATTTTTCGTGCTGCTGGCACCCGGAACACGGACAGTCTGGGTGTGGAAATTAGCGTTCACATCGCAGTGCTACGGACACATCTAATTTAACATACAGGCAATGTCTCGTTTCAAAAGAGCGGGTAAGGTGGACTCTCAGGTGGGCTTCAGGACGGAAAAGACCGAAGCGACTGTTCCTTACGGTCTGCTGAAGGCAGCCAGAAAAAGCGGCCAGCTCAACCTGTCCGGCCGAGGTCTGACAGAAGGTACATTTCACTTAAAGCTAATTTTAGCTTGTTCCAGTACTACTGAAACTATTATTCTGCCTTTGAAATCAATTTAAAGGTCAACACTGTGCTGAAAATTTGGAAGTAACGCTTGGAGTGAAATACAAAAAGAGAAAGATATGAACTGTTCAGATTGTAGGCCAGTGTTTAGCTAATTACATTTAGAGATGTGACTTAATGAATATCCCTCATAATACTAAACTTAGTACTTAGACATGTATTGAGACATGTATACAAATACTAAGCTTGGAACAATAATGTGTGTCTGATGTGTTTTTCCATCTAATTACTACCTCATAAAAAATTCCAGAATCTATGAATGTGCAATTTCCAAAGTTTTCCTGCTGGACACAAGATGTCTCCTACTTCACTGTAAAGTCCATTCTCAGTGGATGTCCACTGGTGGCTTCAGGTTTCTACATCACACTGTACAAGTTGTATACTGGACCAGGACTGACTTCCAAACTATTTGTGATGTCACAAATCATGATTGTAAGCTCCACTCCTTAAAATCAGATTTTCAATGAGCACAGAGAAACTTTCCACTTTCAGCAGATGAATGTGAAAACATCCTTCTAGTGTCAAACTCTGCACATACATCATTCTGTATATACTGGTATGCATATTTTATTTTATATTAAACGTTTGGTGCAGTATTCAGTGTTTTTGTAAGAACAAGAAGAAATGCTGATTTTGGATTAGAGGGGGACTTTAATATGAAATCAAATATGTATACCAGTATATTTTTAAGTTCCGTTTATGAAAGCATATGAAAACAGGATTCATGTGAAGTATCGGTTTTATTGATCATTTCAACCACACCAAATCTTACACCATGAATAGATTGATGTTCCCCTGCTAATATACTGTCCTGTTCACTTTGACATATGAAGATTATATGTACGTAGTATATTACATACATGTGAATTTTATATTGTAATCTATCAATATATGACTTTAAACCATTGGCTAGTAGGGCGTTTCTTTTCCTGCTGTGACATTGCATATGTAGAACTCATTTTCTTAAATTTAAGCCTCCTGTGCTTTGAGGGGTAAATGTATGCCTCAGAAGGTTTAGTGACATTTACATCTGCTGGCTACTGCTGCATGGATTTATTCTGTATTCTGCAGATGACCCATTCGTCTCACAAGCCCTCCCTAAAATGTTTTATTCAAATATTGGCTCCCCTTCAGGACTAAATGCACAAAGTGGCCAATACTGCTGGAGAAGGTGGTGGTACAAGAAGATATCGCAAAATAAAATATTACAAAATATGATAGAAAAAATAAGACTATAAATGAAGGTATATACACTATGCAATATGCAAGTAAGAATGGTGTGCAAATATTTAAGGCTCGGGCTGGTTCAGTCTGTGGCTGAAAGTGCTCCTGAGCTGCCTGAGCTCAGTGTAGAGAGGATTAGAGGGGTTGTCCATGATGGCTTTCAGCTTCCCTCTCATCCTCTGCTCAGTCACAGCCTCCATACTGTCCAGCTCCATTACCACCACCGAGCTGGCCTTCTTTCACCAGCTTGTTGGCACCCCCAGTGTCAATGCCTCCTCCCCAACACACACCAGCAAAGAAGATGACAGTGGCCACTACCGACTGGTAGAACATCCGTAGTATCTGAGTGCCAACGTTGAATGACCTGAGCCTCCTCAGAAAGAACAGCCTGCTCTGTTCTTTCCTGTAGAGGGCCTCAGTGTGATCCGTCCAGTCCAGTTTATTGTTGAGTGTCACCCCCAGGAACTTGTAGGTGTCCACCATCTCTACCTTCTCCCCCCTAATCTCAACAGGGGAGGGGGTCCTCTTGCTCTGCCGGAAGTCCACCTCCAGTTCTTTGGTTTTTCCTGTGTTGAGCTTTAGGTGGTTCCTGTCGCATCATTCAATGAAGTTCTCAATCGGGTTTCTGTACTCCTCCTTCTTATCATCTGTGATACAGCCGACAATGGATGAGTCATCAGAGAACTTCTGTAGGTGGCACGCTCCGGTGTTGGAGCAGAAATCCGAGGTGTAGAGTGTGAACAGGAACGGTGACAGCAGTTCCTTGGGCTGTGCCAGTGCTGCTCGTCACCACGTCTGTGCAGTCTGACATACTGTGTTCTGTAAGTGAGGTAGTCTGTAATCCAGGCAACGAGGTCCTGATCCACCTGCATCGCAGAGAGCTTCTCTGCCAGCCGGAGAGGCTTATAGTGTCGAAGGCACTGGAGAAGTTGAAGAATATGATTAGGGCTGGGCGATATGGCTGAAAAAACACGAATAAAATCACGATATAAGTGTTTCATATCAGTTGATATCGATAATTATTGATTAGTTTTTTTTAACCTATTCTAAATGAGGACCAGGAGAAAAAAAGGCTGAATTTAAATACTTTTATTTTAAACGTAACCTTTAACCTTTATAAAGAGGTCAACACAACTATGAAAAACAGTAAAATAAATAAACATACTGGTCAATGTGCAAATATAGACATTAAATAAATGCTTAATCCAACAAAATGTGCAATGTATTTTGTAAATAAAAAACTAGTGTACACCTGAGGTAGAACTAACATCTTTGACATGTAACAAACAGTAATATGTCAGTATCAAACCAGCATCAAATTATAAAAATAACTCAACATGGTTTCACTGCAAGGAAAACTGTTTCACCTTCTCAGGCTTTAAGGCCATATTGGTATATGTAACATACACAAATAAATAACAGTCGCAATGAATATCTCTTCTTCACACCAAGCAAGCAGATCAATAAGGAGCAATAAACAAACATGTCTGACAAATTATTTTAAAATATGTAAGTATTTTGTATACATAGAAATCAGAATAAACTTGCGGTTGTGAACATCTGTGGCGTGAAACAAACCTGTTACCAAGTCCAGTCATCTATGGAAATATCAAACCAGCATATGAAAAAAATAACTCAAGGAAGCGCTATTCAACCATGATGATGATACGCCACTGCATCCGTTATTTCTTTATATCGCTTTGATGTTTTGTCGTATGGCACTGCTGCCGTGTACCTCTCGATGGTGGGCTGTTGCCGCTTGTGTGTTGTTCCACTTGTACTGGCAGAGGCTGTGGCTCTTTGAGGCTGCTGTACTCCAGCGGATGAGAGCGGCTGAGGTGATAAAATCAATTTGTCATTTTGCCAGACTTGGCAGGGACGACGACCTTGCAAAGTTTGCAGACAACATCGGTCTGACTCTTGTCTGACTTAAAATAACCAAAATATTGCCAAACTGGTGACGTGACCTTTCCTTTTTTATCTACAATTTCCTCTCGCGCTGTCGCACTCATATTCTCCCTTCACTCCACACCGTTCTTTTTTGTTGTTGTTGTTGTTGTTGTTGTTGATGCCACCAACCTGGCTAGCTGGGCCGTGATAGGTCGAGAGGCTAAAGCCCTTCCTCTGCCTACATCCCCCAGAATGACTTGCGGTTCTGGCTCGGGGTTTTCTTCCTATTTTTCTCTAACGGAGTTCAAGTGAAATTATCAAACACTCTATTGAACGTATTTTCTATTCAGTGTTTTCTCTATGTTGATTTTGAAGCGGCGGCCCGCCGCTGTTAATTTCTGCCGCCACGGTATCAGAAATGGGGCAGATGCACAATGATTCCGGAAACTTAAGCTTGGGAATTTTGGAAACTTGCATGGGAATTAATGGAAATTATGGGAATTAGTGGGAATTTAGGAGAATTAACTGGAAAAGTTGGGTAATTCATACAAACTCCATCTTATACAAACATAAATATAAACATTTTGTTTTGCAATAAGCAGACAGGCATATATACGTTGGTCGTTTTGTCGATTCTAAATGCTCCTACACACTTGTTTACATTGCTGCTTTAGTCTGGTCACCAATTTATGCATTGCACGGTGTTGCTGTGCATGCAGTACAATTACACTAGCCTGCCACTGCCCCTGGTGGCTCGAGAAAAATGCCACAGCACTTGCTGAAATTGAAATAGGCGAAAATGGCAAAATATTTTTGAAATGTAAGACTTGCAATAACGGAATTACTTGAAATGTTAGTGTTTCTGTAGAAAAACATTATTATTTCACATTGAGCTTGTTTAGATGAGCCACAAGCAATAACAAGACAGCTGCTGCACTGGTAACGTCCATGTTCTTTCCGACTCGTAATGCCCAAAGACAAATGGAACGCTGGAAGTGGTACAAGCCAGGCAATTACGTCACGTTCTTGCGTCAGAGCAACTCGGGTGGGGGATTTACGAGACAAATGGATAGCACCATAAGTAGTAGCCCAAACCATTGACCTTTAGCTTAACATATGATGGTAGCTAGCATGCTGCCTTTGATTTACTATGGCTATGGTTATGGTTATATGCGTACATATGCAGGCGGCTGTGGCTCAGAGGCAGAGCAGGTCGTTCCTCAATCGGAAGGTTGTGGGTTCAATCCCCCGCTCCTGGTGCCACATGTCGAAGTACCCTTGAGCAAGATACTGAACCCCGAATTGCTCCCGATGCCGTGCATCGGTGTGTGAGTGTGTATGAATGTTAGTTTCTGTTCGATGGACTTTGCCATCACTGAGTGAATGTGTTTGAAAGGGTGAACGTAGTGCACGTAGTGTAAAAGCGCTTTGAGTGGTCGGAAGACTAGAAAGGCGCTATACAAGTACAGGTCCATTTACCATTTACCATTTACAATACAATTAACCCAAATGGGTTAATAGCAATGGGTTATGCATCAACCCCCCCCAAAAAAAGAAAAAAAACTCCCATATTTTTAAAAATAAATGTTGGCAAGTCCGTAGTAGCCTATGCTGATTACTGCGTGTGTGCATGTCATTGACGAATATAGGGAGGACATTCAACTGAAGTTGCATTAAATCAGGTTGTTTTAAGCAAGATTGTCCTGCAAGATGTTTCTTTTCAACTACATGTAAGTTCCCTGTTATAGACTAACAGTATTATAACAAGCAATATTAAAAATATCAAGTTTATTCCCGTTAATTCCAATGGAAAGTTTCCAACTTTGGAAATTCCTGGAATTTTGCAACCCTAATCATGTGTCTATCGCGATAGCTATCGTTATCGTTTTATCGCTCAGCCCTAAATATGATCCTCACGATGCTCTGTGGCTTCTCCAGGTGGGTGTAAGCTCTGTGAAGCAGGTAGATGATGGCACGCAAACTGCAGCGGGTCCAGGAAGGCGCGTACCAGGGGTTTGAGGTGTTGCAGAACCATTCTCTGACAGGTCTTCATGACATGTGACGTTAAGGCCCGGACATACCAACCCAATTATCAGACGTCTGATGTCGTCGGACAGTCGGGTGAGGTCAGTGACTCGAGTCGGTTCGGTGTGTCCCGCACCGTTGCCAGTCGGAGTCGGTGTTGGTGTTCATTTTGGCCGATTCGACATGTAAAATCGGCTAGTGGCCGTCGGCCTCAATGACCAATCTGATTGGTGGAGTGCTAGCCCTTGACTAGCGAATCAGTGAGTGCACGAGAAAACCGGAAGTGAGGGTGGCTGTGGCTCAGAGTCAGAGCGGGTCGTTCCTAAATCGGAAGGTTGTGGGTTCGATCCCCAGCCCCTGGTGCCCCTGGTATCCTTGAGCAAGATACTGAACCCCAAATTGCTCCCGATGCCGTGCATTGGTGTGTGAATGTGTATGAATGTTAGTTTCTGTTCGAATTATGCTGGCTGTAGACAGTAGGCATCGATACAGATACTAATCATTAGTAATCAGGATAACCCATACCAATATTTGGAACTGATGTAAAATTACAGTAAACGTGTGTGTATTTGTGTAATCATCATATTAAAACTTGTCTCTCAGTCCCTCAGAAGGTGTATCGTCTAAACACTGACACACCAGAGGAGGCCCAGCAGAATGTGTCCTTTGGAGAGTCAGATCGCTGGTGGGAACAGACAGATCTTACCAAACTGCTGCTTTCATCCAATCAGCTTACACAGCTGTCTGATGACATCAGACTATTGCCTGGACTCACTACATTGGATGTAAGTAATGCATCCACCAAGTAAAACCGAAAAAACAAAATAAAAAACAAAAAGTCCCCCCTGTGTGAGGAATTTTACTGATTTAGTTTTTCCTGCTACCAGTTTCGACTCCTATGTTCCGGTTCATGTATGCTAGTTGTATGGATGGTCCTGTCAACTAATTTTTCTGTTGATTTAGCGGAAATTTTAATTCAGAGTAGGTGACTATTGAATAAGAAAAACATTGAAAAATAGTCAAAATTGACCACAATTTCTTTGAAAATACTAAACATTGTCTGAAAAAATGCCTGTATTTTAACAGCTATGTGAATATGTTATTAATCAAACAATGTCATCTTGTCCAAAACACTGACATACCACACTGGTCTTACAATTACAAGTTACCATCTTTCCCACTCACTGGTTGAATTGTGATTGTCTGCCAGAGCTGCTCCCTTTACTGGCTGGTGTCTGTTTAACATCTCTGCAACAGTTAACTGATTTTGTATAATGAATGCCTACATTTATAAAATATTTATAAATATATAAAACGCAGAAGAAGAGATTGTTGCAGGAGGTGTGCAAATCGGAGAGTAGTGTGTGAAGACATGGACATTTTTAAGGGGGAAATAAGCTTTTTTTCGTTGTGAAGGCATTATCTCCGTGATCGATTATTCTGGGCTTTCGGTGAAGCGAGCGCTGGAAAAACAGGTAGGCGATAGTACTGTTTTGTACAATTTCTGCACAACGCATGAGTTGAAAAGGCATGTTGTTGTCACGTAAGGGCCCTGATCATGTTGCACAGACATTTTAATTGCATTTTGTGTATGTTAAGAGGAGCAAAAGGCACTCTTTAGGATATGCCCCTAAGAAGTGTATTATAACTAACTGGGAGCTCTGGCCATTAGCTGCAGGATCTCCAGTTTGCTAGAACCAATTCTGGTCCTTTTTCCTATCAACAGTACTTTGTGACCTCTAGTGATCAAGACTAGGGTAAAAATCTGCCAAAGTTCCCCTTTAAGTAGCTTTTTCATGGATGGCCAAATGAGGTTGTGTTTAAGGTGTAGCAGCTAGCTACAGACAAACATCCACAGATTCCGATTCCAGTTTGTTGTCCTCGCGTGTACGGATCTCCTCAGACCGGAACGGACTCGTTCAGTGTCAGTAATCCACAACAGTCAGTTTAGATGCACAGAATGGGACCGAACAGCCGGCAAAATCCGCTGCAGGTATAAAGCCGCTCGCGTCGCTGCAGGTATAGATCAGCGTGTTTCTTAAGGTGTGTCCTGGGGGTGGGCTCTGCAGTGATTGGCTCTGGTGCGCATGTGGCTATGGTGGCTATGGTTGACAATGCTAGCGGAATTCGTAAATCATTTAATTCAATTTTTTTTTCAATTGAATTTTATTTGTATAGCGCCAATTCATAACAGAAGTTATCTCAGGACACTTTTCAAATAGAGCAGGTCTAGACCGAACTCTTTAACATTAATTACAGAGACCCAACAGTACCACCATGAGCAAGCACTTGGCGACAAGGGCAAGGAAAAACTGCCTGTTAAAAGGCAGAAACCTAGGACAGATCCTCCGGCTCTAGGTGGGTGGTCGTCTGTCTCGACCAGCTGGGGTGAGAGAGAGAGAGAGAGAGAGGGAGAGGGAGAGAGAGAGAGAGCGAGAGACAGAGAGAGAGAGCGAGACAGACAGACAGGTGCACAGCAACAACAGTATTGGCAATGGCAGTCAAGCAGGACCATGGCAGGAGGCTCCACCAGGATCCATGAGAACCTGCGAGACGAGAAAGCACAAGAAATCCGGGGAAGAAGTGGAGTTAGTAACATGCATTAATGGGACATGAATGAGTGCATAAAGAGAGAGGAAGGGAGGAGCTCAGTGCACCATGGGAAATCCCCCGATAGTCTAGGCCTATAGCAGCATAACTAAGGGATGGTTCAGGACTCACCTGATCCAGCCCTAACTATAAGCTTTATCAAAGAGGAATGTCTTAAGCCTACTCTTGAATGTGGTGAGGGTGTCTGCCTCCCGAACCACAACTGGAAGCTGGTTCCACAGGAGAGGAGCTTGGTAACTGAAGGCTCTGGCTCCTGTTCTACTTTTAGAGACTATAGGAACCACAAGTAGCCCAGCATTCAGAGAACGTAGTGTTCTAGTGGGGTAATAGGGTACTATGAGCTCTTTAAGATATGAAGGGGCCTGACCATTAAGAGCTTTATAGGTGAGGAGGAGGATTTTAAATTCAATTCTACATTTTACAGGGAGCCAATGCAGAGAAGCTAGTACAGGAGAGATGTGATCTCTTTTTCTAGTTCCTGTCAGTACTCGTGCTGCAGCGTTCTGAATTAATTGGAGCGTTTTAATGGACTTATTGGGGCAACCTGATAATAAAGAGTTGCAGTAATCCAGCCTTGAAGTAACAAATGCATGGATTAGTTTTCTGCATCTGTCTGTGATAGTATGTGTCTAATTTTTCTAATATTACGTAAATGAAAGAAGGCAGTCCTAGAGGTCTGCTTTATGTGGGAGTTAAATGACAAATCCTGATCAAAGATAACTCCAAGATTCCTGACAGTGGTGCTAGAGGCCAAGTTAATGCCATCTAGAGTGACTATATCTTTAGACAATGAGTTTCTAAGGTTTTGGGGCCAGAACAAGATTGTTTTTTTCTGAGTTTAACATCAGAAAATTGCAGGTCATCCAGGATTTTATGTCCGTAAGACATGTTTGTAATTTAGATAATTGATTAATTTCATTGGGTTTGATTGATAGATATAACTGCGTATCATATGCATAACAGTGAAAGTTAATGGAGTGCTTCCTAATAATGTTGCCTAAAGGGAGCATATATAAAGTAAATAGTATTGGTCCAAGTACAGAACCTTGTGGAACTCCATGACTAACTGTAGTATTTATTGAAGATTCATCGTTAATATGTACAAACTGCGAGCGATCTGATAAATATGACTTAAACCAGCTTAGTGCGGTTCCTTTAATGCCAATTTGATGCTTATGAAATAATTTATTAACGGTATCTTTGTAGTCCAAACATAGCCGACGTTGCACACCCTTAAACCACACAACAGCCATGTTGAAACTCTCAGGTCAGTCTGATCCTGATCTGCAGAGATAGTTGAGGCACACACACACACAGACAGACAGACAGACAGACAGACAGACAGACAGAGATTTCTTGCTTTTATAGAGAGAGATATATATTTTTTTTTAAGTTAAAAAACATTTAAAATGTTCATGAGTAGCCATTCTGTTCCAATCCAATCCCTGCTTGCGTGTTTGTGCAGCGCCTGTACCCCATTGATTGGTGTACCCATTATGTATATTATTATGTATGTGAGAGAGAGAGAGAGGACAGGAGGTGGCTCCTCCTGTCCCTGGCTAGCTAGCTTACAGTCCGTTGCAATGGATCGTTTTGTGATCAAGAAAAAAAGAGTGCAGGTAGAAAATGAAGACCAAGACCCAGTCTCCCAGAGGGACAAAGAAGAAGAGGGAGATTTGAAAAATTAATCTGAGAGAGGAACTTGTGAGCCAGGACCTGAAGGAGCACCAGAGCAGTCCATCGCTGCTAGCTGCTCTACAGCCCCTGTTAGCTGCACTGCTGACACAGACACCGCTCCCTCTGATTTAAGCCTGTTGATGAACCTAGGCGGCCTCTTCTTCAGCGTTATCCAGCCACGAAAGTTGGACAGTAGGATCGCTACTTCAATCATAGATGGTATGAGGATTACAAATGGCTGGAATATTCTACTTCAAAGGACCGTGTTTTCTGCTTTGCATGCAGATTTATACAGAATGAAATACTGGACATTATGGCAAATATGATTGGGGATCAGATAAGTGGTGAAATACAAGATGCTGAAATATTTGCTTTTCATTTAATCCGTTACACTGTAATGAATGCACAGCAGGACGTGGCATGTATTTTTGTTTGCAGTAGAACTATAATCACCAAGATTGTGATGAGCCAGTTCCTTTTACGCTCTTTAAGTGTGTGCCCAGTTAACAGGCACAGGCTGTTTACACTTCTCACTGTGGCTTTGTATATTATTAATTAAATTTTTTTACCTTTATGATGTTGTGATTCTAATCATTAGACATGAGTGGTTTGCACTTCTCGTTGCGGCTGCACTTTATAGCCTATGTTATTAATTTCACTATTAATTTAACTTCTTAAGTTATGATGTTGTGATCCGAGACAATATTGCCAATGCATAGTTGTTTGCTTTCATTAATTATGCATATGGAATACACTTGTCACATTTTGGATGTATTGTCTGGTTATTGGCAGGCGCATGGTCGCTGTCCGGTGCTGAATCTCTCACCTTTGCACTTGAAACATTTTTGCCATTGCCTTGTGGTCGCTTGTATTTGGCTTAGTTATTTTGTTGAATATTCTTTGGCCAAATTCAGTCAAAACTACTTTAATATCGAACATGCTTGTGCTGTGTATCATAGCTGCTTTTACTGAAAAAACGAGAACCTCTTTATAAAGTAACTGAAGTCATGAAAATCAATTATTTTCTTAGCACCCCCACGAATCGGTCAAGCTCCCCATTAGCACCAGGAGAGAAATAATCCTGGCGCCGTGCCTGCTTAGCGCTCTAAACGCTGAAGCTCATAGGATTTGTATCGGCACTAAATCATCTGAAGTACCGGTAGCTTAAGGGACTGGAGGTGCTTGCATTTTATCTCACAACGCGCTGCTAAACTGTTGCAAGGAGGATGCTAGCGAGAGGTCATGTGATCACGTCATGTGATCACGTAGGCCCACTAGTCGTGTGACTGAATCCTGCCATGCTGTAGAGAGCGTTTCTGCACTGTGTATTAAGTAGATGTGAGGAGTTTCCGTGTGCGTTTCAATATTTTTGGCGAAGTAATTTCAATACTCGATAATGGAAATTTGCACATCGTCAAAACAGCAATGACAATATTATTGCAAACGATATATATCGCCCACCCCTAGTGGCAGCTATCTTTGTTATTTACAGAAATGCAGCCAATGAGGCTCCGCTGTACAGTTATTGTATGAAAGCCACCCCCATATTAGATAAATGTTTTTAATTGGACCCAACAGGTCAGGTAGAAATCTGTTGCAGATTTGTTTAGCTTCCAGGCTACAAAATGCCTGCCATTATGAAAACAAACAAGGCATGGGACAATATATAAATTTCATGTCACGATTATCTTGGCCAAAATAATTTAAATGTATGATATTATCAAAATAATTATGAAAATATACTTCAAACTTTAAAATGGCACTAAAATATACTGAAGTCACTTATCCTTACATTTTGAAATAGATGTATTTATTGCATCACAAATAGGCACCTCACCTCATAAACAATAACATCATATATTGTCCCATCCCTAATCAAAATGTAATGTATTCAGGGGCATATTTCCTTACCACACGCTTTGGAGCTTTTACTGGTGTAGGGTTATCTCCCACATCACTTTTTCTGTTTCTGAAACCTTACCATTTTGTGTCATTGCATCAGTGGGAATTTTAGATGGTAAATGGTAAATGGACTGTATTTGTACAGTACCTTTTTAGTCTTACGAACACACAAAGCGCTTTTACACTACATGCCACATTTGCCCTTTTACACACATTCACACAGTGATGGCAAAGCCCATCGAACAGAAACTATTGCATTCATACACATTCACACACCGATGACACAGCATTGCAGCTAGCTAATAGTGGCAAAATACTTTTGTCTTTACCCGATCATGTGCTGTAATTGATGTAGTGATATTCACATGTAACTGGTCACTAAAATAATGCATTTTAATTTGACAATTTTTATTTTATTATTATTTACATATAAAAATAACTTGCTTTGTAAATTACCAGAAAAACCCACAACCCACTGGTTGAGATTATTTTAACTCCAGCTGTTGAAAATGGCCATTTTGCTCTCACAGCTCCATGACAACCAGCTGACCAGTTTGCCCAGTGCTTTGGGAGAACTGCAGGAGCTCCAGCAACTTCGACTCAGGTACACACACACACACACACACACACAAACACATGCATTGTGGTAGATATAGCACTAATATTTGATGTACCCAAGCTTTTGAATTTATTTTAAAGCATTATGTGAAGATGTTATTGTCATACGATACAATTCAGATTCAAAAACGTAATATATACATCAGTGGACCAATAAGTCGGATTTAGTGGCATCTAGCATTGAGGTTGCGGATTGCAACTCTCTCACTTTCCCCTCCCTTTCCAAGCGCAAAGGAGAAACTATGGTGGCAGTGAAATGTGTTAAAAACATGAACACCCCTATCTAGAGCCAGTTTGTGGTTTGTCCCTTCTGGCCTGCTGTAGAAACATGGACTCCACAGAAAGCTCATTCTAAAGCTAACACAACGATTCTTATTTGCAGGTGATTATACACTAAACCTGGACCTTTTTAATGTAATATTTAACATTTCCTCATTTAAATGTCACATACTCATAAAACCATAAACAGGGTCTAATGTTTATGATTTTATTTTGTGATACTTGTTATATATTTAGTTGCATTGTGTACTTACTGGTGATAATTGCTCACAAGGACTTTAACACGAATGTTATTTTATCAGATAGATAAAAATAGATAAATAATCAAGGATGAGTAAGTACCTTTTATTTGTTGATTGTATAATTGAATATTTAATAAGAAATAGACCTTTCCATGTGGTCATTTTATATAAACTATTCATCAAATTTACAGAATATGTGCTATATCATTATCTGAATATGAAGTCACCTATATCGATATATGAGATTTTGTCCCACAGTGTCACTTTGTATCTCTTCAGTACATTGGGAGCGACAATAAAAAAAACAAGACCAGAGCTGGAAGACTGAAAGGGAACACTTTTTATCAGAGTGTATGTACATGGAACCAATACAGATATTTCTTCATATCCATTATACTTTATTGCCAGTTTGAATTGTATTCATAATGGTCTTAAAAAGTTTTAAATTCATCCAGTAAGTAATTGGTACTTTTAATTGATTTAGAAGAGCCTCGATAGCAGCATCTGTCTTGTCTTTAGTAGTTGCTGTTGGTATTACTTCTCTTTGGTTGATAACATCATTAGTCCTGCCTGTGGAGCTCATTGGATAATTGCTTTTTCAACTGAGAAACCGCTGTTTGATGTCATTATGCCAGACCAGACTCAGTTAACTTGGTGGAGTGGGTGAATTCAGAGGCCTGGACCCAAGCCACTAGACTTTCAATTCAGCTCCACAAATCACAGAGTGGGACTAATCACTGAATGAATGAATGAATGTATCTAAGATTATAAAGTAAAGTAACATCTAACATGTGTTTCCTTTGCTGTGGGGCCAGTCATAACCAGCTGAGATCACTGCCAGTGGAGGTGTGTACTCTAAAAAACCTCTGCAGCCTCACACTCCAGCAGAACCTGCTGGAGAGCCTGCCAGAGGAACTAGGACAACTGGAGAACCTGACTGAGTTGGTAACTAACACATACTGTATGTAGTATATTACACTCCCACCAGACTCTTCCAACTGTGATGTGTGACCGGCTGACAAAGGTGTCCTTTGCTGTGTTTGGTTTAAGGACCTGTCCAACAACCATCTGAACGACCTTCCCTCCAGTCTAGGCTGTCTTATCTGTCTGCAGAAACTCAACCTGTGTAACAACAAGCTGAGCTGTCTGCCTGACAGCCTGGCCCAGCTCACAAGTAAGACCAGCTAATAATGCATCTGTCAGTTTTCTTACATGGCTGCTTTTGACATACGACATATGATCAAATACTGGCTTTAATTTACCTCTACAGTAGAAAGAACCAGGCCTTATTTGAAATATTCTTAATATTATAGAAATAATTTTATCAGGGCCAGAGCACCACCTGGTATGAAAGCCCTGTTATATGAAAGGAATTATTATTCTCTTAAACATCAATCACATTTTTGAGGGGCTAAAGGTATCATGTCCAGACTTCGAAAATAGTCGCTTTGAGCCATGCCCTCAAGCCAACAGAAAATCTGCCATTTTTAATGTAGTGGTCATTTTTGGCATTTTACATTGTAAATTAACAAACTCTTCCTAGAGAATTAATCAGATTGACTTGAAATTAGCCCAGTCATACTTGGATATACTCCTCCTAGTGGGTGGAGCAGATCCACCTCAAATGGGATCATCACCTGCTATTTATAGGTTATGTTTCAGTATAGCAAATGGCCACACCACAGTCCACACCATGAAAATTTAAAATACAAAAATGTGAAGTTATCAGTATCAGCCGTGAGAAGCAGCTTATATGTCATTTTATTGGCTGAAAATAAATCCCTACAAGAAATTGATTTGACCTCAGTTGGTTCAGAAAAAACTTAAAAAGGGCTGATGGTTAAAGTGCTTGACAAACTCAATTAAATAAATTAATTAAAGAACTGCAGCATTTGAATGTTTATTTAGAATTTGAATGTCGATGTTATGAATAAAGCAGAGCAGATTACTACTCCCTTGCTTCACCCTTCCCTTCCAAGTGAAAATTAGAAACTAGGGTGGCCACAAAACATGTGAAAAGAATTAATGTATGTAGAGCCACTGTTCTGCATAGGTCTCCATTTAAAGTGACCTGCAGTGTCTGTAGATGTAAAAAGGCTCAGAAGAAGAAAAAAAGTAGGTGTGAGACACTTAAAAGTGCTGTATTTCCTTCTTTGAAAAGAAAAATGACTTGCTGCCTGTTTGCTAACTTGATTTACAGATGTTAAGCTGTTGGACTGTAGCAATAACCAGCTGACTGACATTCCTGCCAGCCTTTCAGAGATGCTCGCTATGGAGCAGCTCTACCTCAGACACAACAAGCTCTGCCTCCTCCCAAAGCTCCCTGCGCCCGTGCTGAAGGTAATCCTAGCAACAGTTCAGTTCAGTTTTATCTGAATAGCACCAAATCATAACATAACATAAGTTATCTCAGGACACTTTTCATATAAAGCAGGAGAGCAGTTTTCTAGTGGAGTAATAGGGTACTATGAACTCAAGGTACGAAGGTGTCTGACAATGAAGAGCTTTGTAGGTGAGGAGGAGGATTTTAAATTCTATTCAAGAATTTCACTGGTAGCCAGTGCAGAGAAGCTAATACAGGAGAAATATGATCTCTTTCTCGTACTTCCTGTCAGTACAGTGCCGCAGCATTCTTGATCAACCATAGACTGGCTGAAATGGCTGTTGTCTCAGTGAGGTCATCCATAGGTTTCTGAAGAGCCATTGTAAAGCTCAGTGTGGTCAGCTCTGGCCAAATTCTAAATTTCAAATTCTAACTCTAGAAGCGCCACAGAGAGTGGCAACTTGACGCAACAGCTCCCACTCCGCCTCTTATTTTTTCGCCTTAAATCTTACTACTTCTTTATTCCTTCTTAAATAGCACTGTGTTTATTGTTGTAAATAGACCTCCAGTGTTGGTAGTTTTTTTTTTTTACTTTTTTAGCCGTAGTTGAACTAAGTTTTTTTAAATATAAACAATGTGTAGGAATGTGGACACAACAACCACCACACAACAAAACACCAGAGGTTATTCACGTGAGGACTTCCTACGGTATCGGGATTTACGTGTCGCTTGCCCGAGGGAGATCCTGGTGGAGTTAAGGAGACGAAGGAGAGAAACCAGATCAGGCATGTTGGTGAGGACCAAGAAGACAGAAAGGCGGTGGAGATACAAGCCATGTCTTCCCTTGGTTGTCATGGAAAAGTACGCTCGCTGAACAACAAGATGGACGAGCTCTCGGCCCTGGTCAACGGACAGTGAGAGTATCGGGAGTGCAGCATATTATGCCTGACGGAGACATGGCTGAATGACATTAAACCAGACTGTTCAGTGGAACTAGCTGGTTTTTCGCTAGTTCGGACAGACGGGAAGGAACAGAGCGGTAAAAAGTCAGGAGGAGGGCTGGCTGTCTTTGTGAACTCTAAATGGTGTAACCCTGGACATGTTGTCAAGAAGGCAGAAATCTGCACACCTGATATTGAACTTCTGGCCATAGGGTTAAGGCCATACTATCTGCCCTGTGAGTTTATTGGCCACTATTGTCGCCATTATTACATTCCTCCATCGGCAGTAGCGGCGCATGCCTGTGACATCATCCACTCCACCGTTGCAGACCTGCAGACACGTCATCCCAGCATTCATCATCATCACCAAAATCTCAAAGACCCTGACAGTATGTCACCTGTAACATCAGAGGGGAAAAGACCTTCGATCTGCTGTATGCCAATGTAAAAGTACATCTCAACCCTACATACAGGCCTGCTGTTAGGAGGAGACAGTCCATCACCACCAGGACTGTGCAGCAGTGGTCGGTGGAGGCAGAGGAGGCCTTGATGGAGTGTTACAGGACAACCGACTGGGAAGTGTTCCTGGAAGACTACGGAGACGACATCAAGGGTCTCACCCAGTGTGTCACAAACTACATCAGGTTCTGTGAGGACAGCATTATCCCCACCAAGAGGTTTTTCTGTTTCCCCAACAACAAGCCATGGATCAACAGGGACATCAAAGCCCTGTTGAACAGAAAGAAGATGGCTTTCATGGCAGGAGACGAGGAGGCCAAGAAAGACGTTCAGAGGGAGTTGAGGAGGGCCAAAGACTGTTACAAAAACAAGATAGAGAGAAAGCTGCAACAGACCAGCACAAGAGAAGTGTGGGGGGGATGAGTAGAATTACTGGCATGAAAAGGTCAGTAGGTTCAGTAGAAGGGACAAAGGGACATGCCAATGAGCTAAACCTGTTCTTCAATAGGTTTGACTCACAAACCCCTTCCACCTCTTCAGGTACCTCCATTCACACCCTGGATACCCCACCCCCCCTCCACAGCCTGTATTCCCCATGACGACAGTAACACCACCCCCCTCTACTCGCTCCCCTTTCCCACTCCCCCTATCCTCTCCATTTTCCCACCCCACAAACCTCCACCTCCTCCCCCCTCCTACCTCTCTCCACTACACCAACTTTCCCACCGCCTTGCACCCCTTCCCTCCTCCCCCCTCTACCAATCACCTCACAGCAGGGGACTGTCACGCCCCAATCACTGCCAAAACCAACCCGCTCATCACAAGATGCCAGGGGAGACGGCAGCTCACCAGGACCCGGATAAGGCCAGAGGTCCAGACGACGTCAACCCGAGAGTCCTTAAGGTGTGTGCTGAGCAACTGGCAGGTGTGTTCCAGCATCTGTTTGACCTCTCCCTGAGGTTGAAGAAGGTGCCAAAGATCTGGAAGACTTCCTGCTTAGTTCCTGTTCCGAAAAAAGGAAGACCCAGCGATCTCAAAGACTCAGGCCTGTAGCCTTAACGTCACATGTTATGAAGACCTTTGAGTTCTGCAGCACCTCAGACCCCTGGTACGCGACTGTCGGGACCCTGCAGTTTGCATACCAGGCTGACATCGGCGTGGATGATGCCATCATCTACCTGCTTCACAGAGCTTATACCCATCTGGAGAAGTCACAGACCAACGTGAGGATCATGTTCTTCGACTTTTCCAGTGCCTTCGACACCATCAAACCTCTCCGGCTGGCAAAAAAACTCTCTGTGATGCAGGTGGATCAGGACCTCGTGGCCTGGATCACTGACTACCTCACTGATAGACCACATTACGTCAGACTGCACAGTTGCTTGTCAGATGTGGTAACCAGCAGCACTGGTACACCCCTAGGAACTGTACTATCACCGTTCCTGTTCACCCTCTACACCTCTGACTTCTGCTTCAACTCTGGAGAGTGCCACCATTGTCGGCTGTATCCCAGATGATAGGGAGGAATAAGGAGTACAGAGACCTGATTGAGAGCTTCATTGGATGGTGCGATAGGAACCACCTACAGCTCAACACAGGAAAAACTAAAGAGCTGGTGGTGGACTTCCGGAGGGGCAAGAGGACCCCCTCCCCAGTTGAGATTAGAGGGGAAAAGGTAGAGATGGTGGACACCTACAAGTTCACACAAGTGACACTCAACAATAAACTGGACTGGACAGATCACACTGAGGCCCTCTACAGGAAAGGACAGAGCAGGCTGTTCTTTCTGAGGAGGCTCAGGTCATTCAACGTGTGCACTCGGCTACTACGGATGTTCTACCAGTCTGTAGTAGCCAGTGTCCTCTTCTTTGCAGTGGTCTGTTGGGGGGAGGCATCGGCACTGGGGGTGCCAATAAGCTTAGAAAGCTGGTGAGGAAGGCCAGCTCGGTGGTAGGGATGGAGCTGGACAGTGTCGAGGCTGTGACGGAGAAGTGGATGAAAGGGAAGCTGAAAGCCATCATGGACAACCCCTCTCATCCTCTCCACGCTGAGCTGAGGCAGCTCAGGAGCATCTTCAGCCACAGACTGATCCAGCCCTGAGCCTCAAAGCGGTTTGAAGGCTCATTTGTACCATCTGCCATTAGACTCCACAACGCCACAGCTCCCAGTTCCTCCAACCCCAGCAGATAAAGACTGGTTTAGAACTCCTACCTACAACGCACAAACCTTTTGCACTATTTAGATTTAATTTCCACTTTAGTAGTTTAGTAGTTTTAGTTTAGTTTTAATTTTTTAGTTTTAGTCAAGTTTAATTTTCTGCTCATATTTTGGACTCCATGTCCTACTTGAACAACAAATAGGGTATATACTTTAATTTATAGTTTTTTTATATCTTCTAATATTAATAATATTAGCAATATTTTTACTGTGATATTCGTAGTTTTCTGACTTTGTGCTGCTTTGCCCTGCTTTGCCCTATTGCTGCTGTGTCAAAATGAATTTCTCCTTAGGGGATAAATAAAGGAATTATCTTATCTTATCTTATCTTATCTTATCTAACTCCATCTTGGCTGTCCTAACTCCTGTGGTTCCTAGCTAATCCAAAAATAGGCAAATTTGTGGAGCATAGATAGAGCTGAGGTGGGCTGAATGAAGTCTAAAATAGCTGCCTGATACTAAAAACAGCCGCCTGTGATGGGACCCACCTGTCACTCAAAGCAGCCATTCCCTTCAATTCAATTCAATTCAATTCAATTCAATTTTATTTGTATAGCACCAATTCATAACAGAAGTTATCTCAGGACACTTTTCAAATAGAGCAGGTCTAGACCAAGCTCTTTATAACATTATTTACAGAGACCCAACAGTACCAGCATGAGCAAGCACTTGGCGACAAGGGCAAGGAAAAACTGCCTGTTAAAAGGCAGAAACCTAGGACAGATCCTTCGGCTCTAGGTGGGTGGTCGTCTGTCTCGACCAGTTGGGGTGAAGGTGAGAGAGAGAGAGAGACATACAGACAGACAGAGAGAGAGAGAGAGAGAGAGAGAGAGAGAGAGACATACAGACAGACAGAGAGAGAGAGACACAGAGACAGAGAGAGACAGACAGGTGTACAGTAACAACAGTATTGGCAATGGCAATCTAGCAGGACCATGGCAGGAGGCTCCACCAGGATCGATAAGAACCTGCGAGACAAGAAAGCACAAGAACTCCGGGGAAGAAGTGAAGTTAGTAACATGCATTAATGGGACATGAATGAGTGCAGAAAGAGAGAGGAAGGGAGGAGCTCAGTGCACCATGGGAAATCCCCCGATAGTCTAGGCCTATAGCAGCATAACTAAGGGATGGTTCAAGACTCACCTGATCCAGTCCTAACTATAAGCTTTATCAAAGAGGAACGTCTTAAGTCTTCTCTTGAATGTGGAGAGGGTGTCTGCCTCCCAAACCACAACTGGAAGCTGGTTCCACAGGAGAGGAGCTTGGTAACTGAAGGCTCTGGCTCCTGTTCTACTTTTAGAGACTATAGGAACCACAAGTAGCCCAGCATTCAGAGAACGTAGTGTTCTAGAGGGGTAATAGGTGTGGTGGAAATTCAATTCAGCCCATTCATGTGAGATGCAAGAATTAAAAAAGTCAGTCAGTCAGTCTTTTCACCCGGGTGTAGCTCTGCGCAGAGCGAGCCTCTCAGCTTGTCAGCATGAAAAGGTCTCCCTTCTCAGGGCTGCACCCTTATTTATTGAAGAAGTAAAAACAGGAGGTACAAAGTAGATAACAGCTAGTCATGCTAACGAGCATCATGACCTTGTATTCATAGGAGATGCCTGGAGCCTCCACCGGGTTCAGCCTCTCCTCCCTCAATAACAGAGACATTGTAACCACAGGTTGACTGTTAGTCTTTATCGTGTGGGAAAATTAACAGGTGCTGAGAGCAACCCTGGAACAGATACATTTTGCACACACAGTAGTTCATAAGCATGAGGTTACATATAGTGTATTATAGTGTATTACAATTTTCCATTACATAGGGTACTCTTTAGAAGATTCATCGTTAACATGTACAAACTGCGAACGATCTGATAAATATGACTTAAACCAGCTTAGTGCGGTTCCTTTAATGCCAATTTGATGCTCAAGTCTCTGTTAAAGAATATTATGGTCAGTGGTGTCAAATGCAGCACTAAGATCTAATAAGCATAACTTTAAGCCTGTATATAATTCCAATGGATTAGTTATATGAAAATGAACCCCCTGTACAGTTGTCATGAACTTCTATAGAGAGACCAAAACCGTTTTTTTGTCATAGCTGTAAACGTGTGTATTTCTGCTGTAAAGCTAGGCATTTTAATATTGGGTCTTATCGATAATGGACTGCCAAATAATAAGGAAATGCAGTTATCCAGCCTATAAGTAACAAATGCATAGACTTTTTATGGCATCTTTTTCTGACAGGATTTGGCTGATTTTTGCAGTGTTGATGATTTTTGCTTTCAGGTTATTATATATTTGCCAGTTGTCCCTCTTAAATGTTACACACTGGACCTCTAAAAGTAGTTTGTATATTATGGCTTCAAGAAACAATTTTGCGTGTGTGTGTGTGTAGGAATTGTACGTTGGGAACAACCAGATTGAGCAGTTGGAGATGGAACAGCTTGCCTGCCTGACCGCCATCTCTCTTCTAGAACTACGAGACAACAAGATCAAAACCCTTCCTGAAGAGATCACCTTACTGAGCACACTCACACGCCTTGACCTTACCAACAATGACATTACCACGTATGTTATTGGACACCATGACACCATGACTACCTATGGCAGAAAACAGCCAAACTCACGCCATGATAGAAATATCCAGTCAGTAACAAATCTGTTCACAGCGATTTCACCGGGTGGATTTTAGACATTAATGTACATATGCACTCCTACGCTATTTATATTTTTATATTACAAATTATTTCAGCATGATGGGACATATAACCATGCAGGCCCACTGCATTGGTATAAGATAACAGCTAGTATAGCTGAGTCTTCCAGATCAGTTGTTAGCAGCTGCGACTTAGATATTTACCTTTAGATACTGTCATCACCTGAGTACCAGGTACCAGGTATTTTCATGTGAATTGTATCATTTTCTGTCAGTCTTCCAGCTTCTCTCAGCCTGCTGCCCAATCTGAAGGTGTTACTGTTGGAGGGAAACCCTTTACGAGGAATCAGGAGAGACCTGCTCACTGTAGGTGACACACTGAGGACAAACACACAGCATGGATGGTAAAACTGATGGGTGAAGATAATGCAGTGGTAGTACAGCCTGTACAAATACTAGCTGAAATCACAGTTGCTGAAGACAATTGTTTTTCACTTTCCTAAGAAGTAGATCCAGCTAATGTGGGGTTTTAGAGACTGACTGAAAATTAGTGAACTTTTGAAAATATACCTTTTCTATGAATATAATATTTAAGTTAACTAATTTAACATGTACATTGTCAACCAACTCTATTTGACATTGCTGAATATAGTACCACAAACATTTTTTCCTGCATGATATACCAGAAAAAAACTGTTTTCAAATCAGCGCTGATCGGATAACATAAAAGCCAGTAGACGAAAAGTAGACGAAAGTATCGGGATTGTAACGCTGGAAGTCTCCTACCAATGCACTGCTACATGTGTTGACTGTATTAGCTGCTGCCACTTACTAATTAGCGATCCTGTTAGCTGAAGGACTGTGGGAGTTTTTTTACACCACTAGCACAGGACCTTTGACTGCAGGGAGGAGTAGGAGTGCAGGGCCAATGAGTACTATAGCCAAAGTTGGGTAAGCAGCAAGCGGTCAGGGATACCCCTAGACTAGACACTTAACTGTTCACGCTAAATCATTAAGATGAAACATATTTGCCATTAAAGACTGCGGTCCTCTCTGGAAGATTCTATCATACAGTTTCTCATTTAAGAAAAGTTACTATTTGACAGCTTTAAAATGCATTGTTTGTCACAAATCCCTTCAATAGTCAGACATTGCACATTGCATTTTAGTAGAAGTAAACCTATGGGATCAGATTTGTGTCAATATAATCAAACTTCTTAAACAGAATAAGAATTTGAGAAAGACGTTCAGGGGAGTAAAACAGTTTTGGCGGATAAAATATCTGGTACACACACAACCTATATCAGTACTTAATTACACAAATCATTTGCTTGCAAGTTGAAATTTTAAATGTTTTAATTTCTCTCTCAAATTCTTTTTTTGTTTGATTACACTGGCACAAATCTGATTTCATACAAACTAGAAATGATAACGGTTCACTGCAGCTGTAGTAGTCGAGAAGTTTGAAGATGGAATTTCAGTGACATAGTTCCATGCAAAATGGTAATGTTCTCACTGCTTCACTAGAGCAAACATTAATACTAATATTCAATTCAGTTTTATTTGTATAGCGCCAATTCATAACAGAAGTTATCTCAGGACACTTTTCAAATAGAGTAGGTCTAGACCAGCCTAGTTGGGATCGGGTCTAATAGACAGGTTGATGGCTTTCAATTCAAACTTCTTACACTCCTCCTATGTTATCCTTATCACAGAAAGGAACCAATGAGCTTCTGAAACATTTAAGAGGACGAATTAAAGGTACCGTTCACTTTTCTTTTTTTGCTGACTTGAAATACTTTTGCCCACTGCACCTAAAAGGGCTGAAATGGTTCCAGTACAGTGATGTTCACCACCGTTGATCAGTGCTTTTTCTGAGCTTTTAACCACATCTCAAGGTGTTTATCAGTGATGAGAGGATGATGAGAATCCTACCTTCTGACCAGGACACACACTGTTAAATCAACAGGGACCGCCATAAGCATCCCAGTGTGAGATGCCATTGTGAAGCAGGAATATCAGAACATCTAACCAACACTTAATAAAAAGCATTCAATAGCTTAAGATCTCTACTGGTATACCCTTAAACAGGACTGACTCACACTACCTCTGCTGCTGGCCTCTGCGGTTAAAATTCAGAGTTAAACTGTCTAAAATTTGACTGTTTTTCACTCAAAAGGATTCCAACACTGAGCAGGATATTCCACAAAATGATTTCATGTAAAGGGGGGAAACCTCTGCCGATGTAGGGGTTACACCTGAAAGCAGAGAGATGCACCTTGCTTCACTGCCAGTTTGATCCCATGCCAAACACATCAGTCTCAGTGTGGGTGTCCCTGCTGGGGCTCATACATACAACACTACCTAACAAGACTAATAAATACTAATAAAAACACTCATAATGACCTACTGTTTATTTCTACAATGGGAAAAGAATTACTGAAGTTTGAAGTCATAGTTTGTTGAATAACAACCCAAAATGCATTTTGCTTTTTTTGTACCATAACTTATTTATTATTGAATTGTTGTAGTTGAGTAAGGTTGTATTTTTTATGTAAATTTGTTAAATGTTTAGAATGTATTTCAAGACAAGACTGTGAGACAGCTGCGATGTGCTGCTTGTTTTTTTTAATTTTTGTACAACAACATAATTTTCACAATCGAATATCCGTTAATTTTTGCAATTTTGGAACATTCATTGATACCTTATTGTTACAATAATATACCCTTCACATTATAACATGATATTAAACCATTTTTCTTTTTCTTGCATAGCCGCAATATGTGGCCGTAAAATATAGTGTGAATTATTTTCTCATATGTTCCATGCTTGTCTGCCATACTTATTTGTGTGTGTGTGTCTGTGTGTGTCTGTGTGTGTCTGTGTGTGTCTGTGTGTCTGTGTCTGTGTCTGTGTCTGTGTGTGTCTGTGTCTGTGTGTCTGTGTGTGGTTTGGTTTGCAGAGGAGCCTGACAGAGTAGATGAAGGACCTACAGCCATGACGTTACCCAGCCAGGCCACTGTCAATGTACATAACATTAAAACACTGAAGTTATTGGTGTACAGGTTAGTGATACACAGTTCTGTCTGTATTTTGAAGAAAAATGGTATCACCAAAATAATCTTTTCATGTGTTAATCTTTTGGTTACATTTATTTGCAACCAATAGACTGACAAATCTGGTGACTCACTTCATCAAAGTATTTGTACTTGCTAATTGTTAACAGTAGCCTCTCATACAGCTGCCATATTGGTCTTGTCACATGCAATGATCCCGTCAAACTTCTTTTTATTGATGTTCCCAGATCTCAGTAATTACCTTTGTGACTGCAGTTGGTCCAATTAAATTAAATTAAATTAAATTAAATTAAATTCAGTTCAGTTTTATTTGTATAGCGCCAATTCATAACAGAAGTTATGTCAGGACACTTTTCAAATAGAGCAGGTCTAGACCGAACTGTACCAGCATGAGCAAGCACTTGGCGACGGGGGCAAGGAAAAACTGCCTTTTAAGAAGCAGAATCCTAGGACACACCCTTGGGCTCTAGGTGGGTGGTCATCTGCCTGAACCAGTTGGGGAGGGAGAGGGAGAGGGAGAGAGAGAGAGGGAGAGAGAGAGAGAGAGAGAGAGAGAGATGATTGATTAATTGTAATGAATTACTTATTGACTGAGATTGATTGATTGTTACTGATTGTGATTGAGTCAATCATATTTACAGTATTACCAACAGTATAGATTATAATTAATTTATTGTAAATATTGTTTTCCTTTATTGTTATTATTATTCTTTTTTATTCCAAACGCTTGCTTTGGCAATATGTACAGTGTTACGTCATGCCAATAAAGCCATTTGAATTGAAATTGAATTGAGAGAGAGACTAACAGGTGCACAGCAACAACAGTAGCAACAACTACATTAATAGTAGTGACTGATGATGATGAACATGTTGTAATAGGCTGCAATGATACATGGTTGGATATTAGTCTGCATTGGTGTCAGCACCAAGGCAACTGTCACATTACAGTCATTAGATTGAGTTTATATATCAAAATGTTGCTCAAGGTTTGAGAAATTAGTTGTTGTTAATTACACTCTAGTTACTCAACGAGTTAGAGTAACTTTGTATGTTTTTGTGTTTAGTGAGAAGCAGGCATTGAATATTCCAGATGAGCTGTTTGATGCTGCAGCAGATCAACCCATTACCACAGTTAACTTCAGCAAGAACCAGCTGACCACCATACCTCCCAGGTACACAAACAAACACACACACACACACACACACACACACCCCCATACATGTTAGTACTGAATGCATACATCCTGCCTGATCTGCACTGCATATGTGCAACTCTAAACAGAGATTAGGAGAAAACATAATGACTCAAAGGTTAGGAATGTGTTACGATGCATTTTATTTGATTTTTTAATGAAAAAAAAGCATTAATTACTTACTGTTTTAAAGCCTCGAGTTTGGCATTATGTCTGTCATTTTTTTTGTAGCCAACAGCAGTGACATACTACGAGCTGCAATTTGTGCTTGATCTGCACTGCCTAGTTTAAAAGTTTCATCTGAGTTTGGAGACAGATTCACTAAAAATACCCTGCTTTATCGTCTATTTTACCCTAAATGGGACCACTAAACTAAATGAACATCTTTTTTTAATACTTAATACTAAAGATACAACAAAACACCTGTTATATTGATGAAAATACACATATCAGTAACTATCTTGTACACTACATGCCACATTTGCCCTTTCACACAGCAAATAGAAACTAAGTCATTTACATTCACACCGATGACACAGCTTCGGGAGCGATTTGGGGTTCAGTATCTTCGACATGCTGCCGGAGGGGCCGGGGATTGAATCAACAACCTTCCGATTAGTGACAACCTGCTTTACCTCTGAGCCACAGTGTTATGAGTTCACAAACACACTATTGCAAGAATTGGTCTAACCACCGCTTTCTTTAATGTCGTTTTCACAGTATATACAGCATTAAACATACATAAAATGAAACATACTGTGGTGTGTGGGAGTTGAACTGGCAACCCTCTGGTTCCCAAGCCAAGTCCCTACACACTGGGCTACTGCCGCCCTTTATTTTATGACCTCCTGCCAGTATGAACGAACGGCCGGGCAGCTCCTGTCCTGTCTGTACACATTGTAAGCTGGGGGATTTTAATTGTGCCATCCTATAGTAGTCTGTTAAATACGGTAGTGATCTACCCCCTTTAATTCTTGGCTTTTTACACAAGGCTCAGTTCTCTAAGCCTTTTTTTTTTTGCAGCCACCCACTAGCCGATAGAAAAAAGGCAGGTTTCTGCATTGGCTTCACTTCACAGACCTGGTGGACCTGTCCACTAATGAGATACTGTCTGATTGTATGACAACAAAAGGTTGTTTGAACAGAAATGACTCCCAGACTAACTGAATGTGTGCTGTGTGTGCAGACTGCTAGACTTCCAGTCCTCAGTGTTAGACATCAATCTGGGTTTCAACAAACTGACCTGCTGTTCTCCTGAGATCTGCAACTTACTGCAGTTAAAACACATCGATCTCAGGTACACACACACACACACACACACACACACACACACACACACAGTCCAAACCCAAAGATATTGTGATTACATTGAAATCAAATGGAGAAAAGCTGCAAATATTCACATTGGAGAAGCTGACACCACTATAAGCATCAGTCACCTGAAATGTTCACCTTTTATTCCTGTCTTGCAGTTTGAATATCCACAAACATACTTCACATACAGCATATAGACAAATTAAATCCTGCCTAATGTTAGTCATTTTCTAGTTGGTAAATGGTAAATGGACCTGTACTTGTATAGCACCTTTCTAGTCTTCCGACCACTCAAAGCGCTTTTACACTACATGCCACATTCATCCTTTCACACACATTCACTCAGTGATGGCAAAGCCCATCAAACAGAAACTAACATTCATGGATGGGGGGTTGTTCGGACGGACTGCCCCCATTGCTAAAAAAAAATCCTAGAGGAAAAACTGATTCTTTTCCAACTCCCAAAATATCTGAGCCAAATATCATCCAAGCATTGCAGCTCAATCTGTAGTGATGTTTAAACAGAGCCATTCATTTGACGGAATGATTAATACAGCAATGTTACAGATTCCATGAAAAGGCCTTAGGAACAGGTTAGGGGTGGGATTTTGATAAACCTGTTAGTACAAGTGTTAATGTGGTATTTATGTATTCATGCCTTTTTTTCTTCCAGGAACAACCAGCTGAGCGATTTACCACCTGAAATGAAGAGCTTAAATAAACTGTGCTCCATTATCCTCAATTACAACAGGTAACTCGCTGTTTCAGGACCGGTTAAACCCTGATGTCATGCTGTCTATGTTAGGAGCTCCGGTGTGACCTGTGCTAACATGGCTCCTTACTCACGTTTCTTTCCCTCATCTTAGCTCCTCCCTAAGGGAATGTTAGAGATGAGGAGGAAGATATTATGGAGCCCCTGGGGTCAACTGAGGGGGAAAAAAAGCTATGTGTAAATCTGTACTCCGCGTGATCACAGATTTATAAACCGTGCACACTGGACTGGTAGCCAGCAGCAGTAGGCCGGCTTTGGGCCTGAACACGTCACTACACAATAAGAAAGTTATATCTATATTTGACATTGTGATGATTCTTTTGAAAAACTAACTGTTGACATATATAAAAATTATGCTCTCAGTTGTGAAAATGAATCTTTATTTTGTATATTCACATTGGCAAACAAGTTAATGTGGGTACTGTATGAGATGGGCTTCGTGTATATACACTATAGGGACAAAAGTATTTGGCCACACGTTATTTATTGAATTCAAGTGTTTCAATCAGACCCCTTGCCCCAGGCGTATAAAGTCAAGCACCTAGCCATGCAGTCTCCATTTGCAAACATTTGTGAAGCAAAGTGGGGCGTTCTAAAGAGCTCAGTGACTTCAGGCGTGGTACTGTGATAGGATGCCGCCTTTGCAATAAGACTTCGTGAAATTTCATCCCTGCTGGATATTCCACGGTCAACTGTAAGTGATATTATTAGAAAGTGGAAGCATTTAGGAACAACAGCAACTCAGCCACGAAGCGGAAGACCACGTAAAGAGTGGGGTTGAAGACTGCTAAGGTGCATGGTGTGTAAAAGTCGCCAACGCTCTGCTGATTAGCGAGAACTTCAAGAGTTCAGAACTTCCACTGGCATTAATGTGAGCACAAAAACTGTGCGGCGGGTCCAATGCCAAGCGTCAAATGGAGTGGTGTAAAGAGCATCGTCACTGGACCGTGGAGCAGTGGAAACGTGTTCTGTGGAGTGACGAATCACGCTTCTCTGTCTGGCTGTCAGATGGTCGAGTCTGGGTTTGGCAGATGCCGGGAGAACTTTACCTGCCTGACTGCTTTGTGCCAACTGTGAAGTTTGGTGGAGAAGGGATAATGGTATAGGGCTGTTTTTCAGGGTTTAGGCTAGGCCCCTTATCTCCAGTGAAGAACCTATGTTAATACCAAGACATTTTGGACAATGCTATGCTTCCAACTTTGTGGCATCAGTTTGGGGAAGGCCCTTTTCTGTTCCAACGTGACTGATGAATTGATGAGTTTGGTGTGGAAGAACTTGACTGGCCCGCACAGAGCCCTGACCTCGACCCTATTGAGCACCTTTGGGATGAACTGGAACGGAGATTGCGAGCCAGGCCTTCTCGTCCAACATCAGTGCCTGACCTCATAAATGCTCTACAGAATGAATGGGCACAAATTCCCACAGAAACACTCCAAAATCTTGTGGAACGCCTTCCAAGAAGAGTTGAAGCTGTTAGCTGCGAAAGGGCAGCCAACTCCATATTAAAGTATATGTAATTGAATACAATGTCATTACAGTCCCTGTTGGTATAATGGTCAGGCGGCTGAATACTTTTGTCCATATAGTGTATGTCATTGGACATGGGTCAATAAAGTTCTCATCCCGAGTGAGTTCCAGTCAGAGCAGAACTGATGCCATACTCCTCTCCAGTTATTTTCAGTCCAACATTTCAACAGTTCACCTCTGCCGACACTTACTGTACCACTTCTGAGACACAAATGTCTTGTTGTTAATAAATGCATCCACAGCAATGAAAATTATATGCGCAACAAATACTTTCTACTTCTTCTTTTAATAGGCTGTGAGAAGATGATTTTTCTGTAAAATATAATACATTCTACCTAATTTGAAATGTTACTTATGGGCTGTGGCCAAATTAATGTTACTGTTAGAGGAAAACTGTAGTTAAATGTAGTCAATTCACTGGAGAGTACGCAGCTGAAAATCAGTAATTATCAATCAGAATCACAGTCAGAAATACTTTATCGATCCCCAGGGGGGAAATTTGTTTGTTACAGTTGTTCTACTCACACAACCTTGAAGAATAATATCTAACATAAAGAATAGAAATGTGTGTATAGGTATATATAATATATATATACACAAAAAGTAAAAATAGAAATAGAAATATATTATGAAATGACGATACCAGTAGTGGCCCCAAGACAATTTGAGTTTGAGACCCCTGATTTAGGGGTACAAGTATTTTAAATGAATCATTAGGAAGTCGAATACAGATATAAAATGTATTTGGGTAGTACATTTTTTTTTATTATTATTGTATAGTGACATCCTGGCTAAAAGTCATAGGCCTCCTGTTGCTGGCTACCAGCCCTGGGCACCCTTGAGTATGTTTTACAAATCTAGGAACAGACGGCAAATCTGTGCCTGTGGTTTGCAAAGAATCTGAGAGTTCAGATATAAACGGGGCTAACGAATTTGTAAACTGAAAGTACTTATTAACACACGGCTGTTTTTTGTTTTCTTTTTTTTTGTCTCTCAGCTGACCCCAGGGGAGCTCTGTAAGATACTGATTGAGGAGGATCATTTTTATGCAGACAGCAATAACACGCAGCATGTCAGCTGCCCCAAAATGTGTGGAAGGAATTACATTTTAAAGAAAAACACCTGATGACTGCTGCTCCAATAATATATAGATTTAGGTGTCACTGAATATGACTAATAGAAATCATAGTAGTAAATAATTAATTGGTTTTATTATTGAGGAAAAAAACAGGACACATTTTTTGGAGAAGCTTATTTTTCTGTGAATGAGCTAACCAATATTAACATGGAACAGCAAAGAAGACAAATAGAAAAGTGTTTTATGATTCATTAACAGTTATTCTTGAGAACTTCTCCGAAGGACACACAAGTGGTCCCTCGCTCTGAACTCAGGTAGCCCCCCTAGGGGTTGGAACATCCTCAGTGACGACAGGAGGAGTGAGGATGGAAAGCACCTACAGTGGCTCAGTCAGCTGGACTGTCTCACACAGTTTATCCACTCAAGAGTCTTTGTGCTGATCCCAGGTTCAAGTCCTTCCCTGAAGTCCTCTATCAGATGGTTTCCTTGGAGACGGTGTTGCTCGGTAACAACCAGGTGGGTGTGGTGGACCCCTGTCATCTCATGAGGTTGGCTCATCTGTCAACGCTGGATCTGTCAAACAATGACCTCATGAACATCCCCCCTGAACTGGGCCTGTGTATCAGCCTCAGGTATGGATTCCACTATCTTCCTTTACCTTCTCCTAGCATGTGTTTGTGTTTGAACCCCCTCACTGCAGCACACCACCAGCTGCTGTCCACTGCATTCCAGGAATCATTCTCATCATGAGATGTAACTGACCCCAGTGTTTATCCACTTTTCCTCAGAGAAGGTAGAGTGAAGTCACTGCTCTGACCACAAGATGTCTTTTTAACGATGTTTAGGGAAGGATATGTTTGATTTAGATTAGTTTTTTTAATTCAAAAACCCAGGAATTTATTTGTGTTTTGTATTGTGTTCTGTGTAAAAAAGGTGAAAATTAAAATAAAAAAAATAAATAATATAGAAATCTGGATGAAAATCCCACACACTGAGTAAAGCAAAGCCTGTGTTGACCCTTAGGTGTCTCAGTCTGGAAGGAAATCCTTTCCGCACACCCAGAGCAGCCATCGTGGCCAAAGGAACAGATGCAGTGTTGGAGTACCTCCGCAGCCGCATTCCTACATGACCCCTGACAGCTCCACCACCATGATCAACAAAGATCTTATTTGGGTTTGAATTTCTTTCAATTTAAAGTCCACAGTTGGGATGTCATTAGACGGTCTTCTACCTTTTGAAGTTGTTAAAACAAACAATCAATATCAGTGTAGCTACAGTGATCTTGTTTGTTTTAGATATTGAATGTCTGAATGTGATGAATAGTTTTGGACAAACTGATTCAGACTGATGCCTGTGTGACTGAAAAGAACCAATGACAAGATACTTTGGTTGAGAATTAGAGGATTGGTGTGAATTTTATAATTGTGTAGTTCATGGCCCAGTCCAAGCTCAGTAAGAAGTACCTTTTATAACCTCAGTCACAAACTGCTTGTTAAAACAACATGACTGCTATAAAACTCTAATGTGTTTTGACAGCTGATTAACAGTCAGCCAACTGCAAACGGTGTGTTTGGTGTTAACTCTTAAAATAAGAACAGTTTCTGTATACAATAAAACATTCAATTCATAATTAGTAGTCTGTCTCCTGTTTGATGAAGTGACTTTCCATTCATCATTGTGCCAACAGCTCCTCCTTCTCGTCTATATTGATCTATATACACCGATCAGCCATAACATTATGACCACCTGGACACCCTGGTGGTCATAATGTCATGTGGCCCCATACAAAAACAAACTGTAAAGCACTGTGTGTTCTGATACCTTTCTATCAGAACCAGTATTAACTTTTTCAGCAATTTGAGCTACGGTAGCTCGTCTGTTGGATCAGACCACAGGGGTCAGTCTTCACTCCCCACGTGCATCAATAAGTTGCCCTGTGACTCCTGTTCACTGCTTTTCCTTCCTTGGACCACTTTTGATAGGTACTGACCACTGCACACCGGGAACACCCCACAAGAGCTGCGGTTTTGGAGATGTTCTGGCCCAGTCAAAGTTGCTCAAATCCTCACGCTGCCCATTTTTCCTGCTTCTGACACATCAATTATGAGGACAAAATATTCACTTGCTGCCTAATATATCCCACCCACTGACAGGAGCCATGATAACCAGATAATCAGTGTTATTCACCTGTCAGTGCTCATAATGTTTTGGCTCAATACATGTCTGGAGGGGGTCTTTAAGGCAAGCCCTTTTCTATCATTGAGTAAACTGACTAAGTGACATATTTGATGAATATTTCACATTATATTCAATGCATAATAACAGTAGAGAACAACTGGTCAACTGTACAATGAACCCAAACAGTGAACATAATAACTGCCAGAAGTTGGTGTAAAACAAGAGATTTGGATGACTTATGATCAGATTATTTCCTGACATTTTAGAAATGGTTTATTAATTTCTCTGTATTATTTATCATTTTTAGCGATCATGCATACTTAATAGGCTGTATATTTGACAAATTCAGTGTTAAGTCCTCATTGCTCTTTCAGCTCTTTGGTTGTTTGAACTTTTCCATTTTAGGATGTGGCTATTTATTAGAGGCTCTGTGAATATAGCTTGTGTTCAGGTCTTCACTTATCCTGTTTATATGTTAAATCATAATCTAAAATGTAAAAATAAAGTTTAGATTATTTTATTTAGTTTTCTTCACAAAAATGAATAAAATGCTAAGATAAAGACTTGGGTGGCAAACCTCCTGGTCTCTGGAACCCTCTTCATTCTTCTGTAGGTGTTATATTGCTTCACGTAATTTTCATTTTCATCAAACCATTCAATGACCCCTTGTGTTATTTATGGAAGTATTCACATTTTTCCTTTTGTTTCAAGGAGGCCTCATGACCCCTGTGAAGCTTCTGTAGAGTCCTCTACATCACTCACTCAATACATTTGTTGGATGGTGCAGTGTGAGATGATACAAAGACAGTGTCAAAAATATAACATGATTTTGAACAAACTTTATTGAAACTGTCAACCAGGACAGGTGCAACGAGACAAGCTGAATATTTTTTGAAAGGAAAGTATGAAGAGATTCTTCAACAGTTCATGTGCCAGTTTGTGTTTTACAATACTCAACCATATTAACCAGTTCTCTAAATCAGCTGTGATCTGACTATTATTTTGAAACTGTGGACATGCAACCAGTGGAAGTCACATCAAAGCACTTCTCCCTGTTGAAAAGATCACACAGCACTGATTCTCTTCTTTCTTTTTACTGCAGGTAGATTTAACCTCTGACAGGTAACACTTACAAACAAACAGTCAAATGACTGATAATTGTTCAACAAAAAAAGCACGCACAATATAATCTGTCCATGACAGACAGTTGGACAGCAGAATCTACAGCCTTTGAATTTCAGAAAAACTACCACTAATACACACTCTGAGTGCTGAGTCACTGTAATGGTCCCATGTGACTACAGGTCAACACACACCATGTTCCTACTGAGCCTAGAATCCTATATTGTAGTAAAAGTTTTTTAAAAAAGCCCAGGGGGAGAGTGTGTTTTTTTGGACATGCGTGTGTTTGTGTGTGTGTGTGTGTGTGTGTGAGTGTGAGAGAGAGAGAGAGAGAGAGAGATGAATGCTTCTGGTCGGTTCATACAGAATGTGGACGGCTTATGATGACGAGTTTGGATCTAAAATCCAAAGCACCACTCAATACCCAGAAAGATCACTATTGCAAATGGCCAACCTCCTTACAATATTTACAAAAATATAAAATGTAAATAAAAATACAAACAAATTCTCTTTTTAAAACTATTCTTGTTAAGAAGGGAGGACTGAGGTGTTGAAGGTTTGCTGGAAAACTGGCTGTCTCTTGATGGTGTCGTCCTCCAGACCAGCTCTGGCTGCAGACTCTACTTATCCGTCTTCTGTTTCTTGGTTTCCACTTCATCCTGACAATAAGGAAAAACATGGTGAGCGGTGCCATCTCAGGGAAATACAACAATGTCTAGTAACCACACCTTTCATCTCCCTCCTTTGAGTTAGTTGAGTTTATAAGCAGTTGTATACAGAGGAAATAATGGCTGTTGGGTCTGTGTAAATAATATTCTAAAGAGTTCAGTCTAGACCTGCTCTATATGAAAAGTGTCCTCAAATAACTTCTGTCTTTGATCGTAGTTGCCCATGTTTAGAGATGTCTGTCTCTGAGCTTTCTGGCTGCACTTCAGTGTAATGGACCTGTTGGAATTTAGTTTTAGGTGCTCAGACCAGTGAGGGTGACATTTAAAAGCAACTTTTCCAAATGACTTCTTCATCTGTGTCCGAAAGCTCTACCTTGTTCACTCATTCATTACTCCCTGTATAACTGGCGTTTATGGGTTAACTCAGCAGCAAACTCAGATTTCAAACTGTACATAGACCAAAATGCAATCCACTTTTCTATTGTTGGAAGGTTTGAGGTTCTACAGAGCATAAATGTTACACTCAGAATCCAGACACCTAAATAAGATGGAGGATGGGGTGTAAGAAAATATAAAAAAATATTGTATTGAGATATTTTCTTTTGTGATATTGTATCGATTCTCAAGAACACTGTAAACTGGGGGATATGATGTTACAGGGACTGTTATAAATACAAATGCAGATCCCACTGCTTTGGTTTCTCTATCTAATGAGCAGTTGGCACCTTGTATGGCGGCCTCTGCTCTGCCATCAGTTTATGAATGTGCGTGAATGGGTGAATTTGGCATGTGTGAGTGGCTTTACTCTATTCACCATTTAATTTGGCTGATCTGACCCTAAGAACAAAAAAAGTCCACATGACCCAACTCCTGTACAGAGGGTACACACTGTGCTTATGCCACCGTTAAGGTGGAGGCTCTTAGCTGAATTCAGACTTCTAATATGTACAATTTAGGTTGTCTCATGTGAGTATTGATTACTGATGCTGGCTGATCAGGCTAATTATCAGTTAATCAGACTCAATATCTAACAGCAGTATAGAAGAAGAAGAAGAAGAAGAAGAAGAAGAAGAAGGAAGTTGGCTAAGTTTTGGAGAGGACAGTAAAAAGGTAAGTTTTCCTTTATGTCTTTTTTAAACACTTGGCCGTAATCTTTTATAATATTATAATTATATTATGTAATTATAATTATTATTATATTATATTATATTTTTATAATAATATAATTATATTATTAATATATATTATATTATGTAATATTATTATAATATTATAATAATATTATATTATTAGAAAAATATAATATAATAATAATTATAATTAAATAATATAATTATAATATTATAAAAGATTACGGCCAAGTGTTTAAAAAAGACATAAAGGAAAACGTACCATTTTACTGTCCTCTCCAAACTTAGCCAACTTCCTTCTTCTTCTTCTTCTTCTTCTTCTTTTTCTTCATGTCTTTCGGGTCTGGTCCCACAGGACTGGTCCATCCCTCAGGTCGGGTCCCCCTAGTGGCCAGGTGCACTTTCAGTTAGTGGAATGAATTTGCAGCGTTTCTCTCTTGGAGTTGTTTTGTTGTTTTGTGTGTTTTTGGTATTTGGAGCATTTTTCTTTGGCATTTGTTTTTTGGGTTTGTAAGTTTTTGCTTCTTCTTCGTTTCTGTGATTGCAGCATTTTTCTGTTGCTGCGTTTTTCTGTTGGATATGTTTTATGTGTTTGTGTGTTTTTGGATTTGCATTATTCCCGTATTTGCAGCGTTTTGCGTTTGCCCTTGTCGGCCACCGTAATAAGCCATTAGGTAAAACTTCCTACAGCAGATGTCTATCTGAGTGCTATAGCTAAATTTAAGTAGAAGATTCCATCAATTTTTAATTCAATGCCATGTCTGAATATAACAGAGTCCTATACACTAGGTTCCTCTTCAGCACTGTAGCCAGGCTGACAGAGAGCCACAGCTCTATTGAGCCACATATCCCCATAACCTTAAGTAGCAACGACTTTATAAGCTTCTTTTATGATAAAATTATTACTATTAGAGACAAAATCCATCACCAAATGCCCTCAACAGCTATCACTATCTCTCCAAGTTCAGGAACTTTAACAAATGTAAAATCAGATACATATTTAGACTGTTTTTCTGCTATCCATCTTCATCAGTTAACTTCAATAATTTCTTCATCAAAGCCATCAACCTGTCTATTAGACCCGATCCCAACTAGGCTGCTTAAAGAAGTTGTTCCCTTAATTGGCACTTCTTTACTGGATATGATTAATCTTTCTTTATTATCAGGATATGTACCACAGTCCTTTAAAGTAGCTGTAATTAAACCCCTTCTTAAAAAGCCCACTCTTGACCCAGGGGTTTTAGCCAACTATAGACCGATTTCTAACCTCCCCTTCCTCTCTAAGATTCTGGAGAAAGTAGTCACCAAACAGTTGTGTGACTTTCTACATAGCAATAGCTTATTGATTTTCAGTCAGGATTTATTTAGACTGCATTACAGTACATAGACAGCTCTGGTTACAGTTAATAACAACCTTTTAATTGCTTTCGACAATGGACTACACTCCTCCTAGCGATCCTAATGGCATTTGCAAGAATCCACGAATACAACCAATTAGAGCCAAGAAAGATAGTTGATTGCGCCTTTCTATATTTCTTGGCTCTGATTGGTTGTTTTCATTCAGATGCGTTGTTTCAGCATATATGACTAATGCAGCTTTAAATTATTTTGTGTGAGGGATCTGTTCACACATGTTCTTGTTAGTTGCTACTCTTTCTACACATGAAAGCATGTTTCATGGCCACTCTTCCTCACCTCTTCGTCATCATCATCCTCAGCTGCTCTCTTTCCTGTTGGCCCATCAAGGTCATCTTCTTCATCGTCCTCTTCCTCTCCTGAATTCACACAAATAATCACTGTTAGACACATTACTAGTACAGAGTTATTACAAGATTATCATTAAACAGGACTGTAAAGTGTCTGTTACTGCATTTTCACAAGGTGACCAGGTTTGGGAAACACTGAGCAGCTGTCTCAGCAGTCACATACATTTCCTGACTATACTGACAAAGGACGTAGACAGCTATCAGGTTTATCTATCAGGTCTGGTGTATAATCTGGGTGTATGTGTGGTTGTGTGAGATCTAAACTCTTACACAGTTAGATAAAGATGTAAATCACATCATAGGCACATGTAGTAGTGCAATGCCAGAGAAACTAGTGTCTGTATGAGGGGAAAACAATGCATTGACAGCATTATTCAGGCTGTAGGTTAGTATTACTATGAAGAGTAACAAATATGGTGTGTTGAAGAAGACTTGTTCAACCGTGTTTTCAGTTACGTTTGATGAGTTGTACTGTCGCTTGTGTAAGCGACAGTACAACTCATCAAACGTAACTGAAAACACGGTTGAACAAGTCTTTTCAAGGAAGGATATTTTCAGTGGTGGATTAATACACATTAATCCACCACTGAAAATATCCTTCCTTGGGAAAAAATTACGATGGAATACTGTTGTTAAATCAAAGTAGAGGGTAAGTTAGGTTCTTCAGTACATAGCTGGTGTTAACTCCAGGCTCCTTATTCTGCACTGAAGTCTTCTCTACAAGCTGCTTTAGTTTCAGATAATTATTTGGATTCTTGTAACACAATTCATATTTAATTTAATTAATTCACAAATAGTGTAAGTAATATAATAACGTTCATTTAGCATGCTCTACAAATGACCAGCCATCAATTTGAACACTGTTCTGAAACTTTTCCTGGGTCCCATATTTTTTAATAAGTCCCACCCCTTCTTGCTCTGTCCTACAGTAATAGAAGTGAGTCAATCTCCATAAGGCCCCATATTAAAATGCACAACTTTACAGCAGAAACAAGCATGTTGACAGCCCAAAAACTATTTTGGTCTCTATAGCTAATTTCCCATACATGATTGAAGAGGGGTACATTTTAATATAACCCACTCATTCTAATTATATTACAGTTTAAAGTTATGCATAAATAACAGTGTGGCTGATTTGAGTATCTGACTGAGGCTTGCTCAACTGTTATTGGAGCACGGAGCAAAAAGGGCTCTCCCCAACTGAGGATGGGTCAATATCATCCTATAATAAGGAGTCTCACAAAAATAGTGTCAGTTGTGCACAAGCTGGGAGGCATGACTGCTACTGTCTTTCTGTTGTTTTTTCATCCCATTTTGTTCAGAATGGTATGAAGACACCTACCCTCTCCATCCTCCTCCTCCTCCTCTTCTCCCACGTCCTCCTCGTCCTCCTCTATCTCGTTCTCCTGCTCACCATTCTCCTCGTCCTGCCAGGGTGAGACCATTATATTGGTCACTGGGAGATAGACATGGATGATTCATGTTCTACAAGCTGAGAGAGGAACAAGAGGAGCTGTTCTTACAGTTTTGCCATTGGCAGCAGCATCCTCTCCATTCTCTGTCTCTTCAGCCTGTTTCTTTTCCTTCAGCTCCTGAAAGCAAACACATTCTTAGGCAAACATATGTCCAGTTTTATGAATGATGAATATACACAAGTTCAAAGAAAACTCAAAATCTGTCTTTTTGTTTTCAGCTAAATTTATGAGTGTGAAAGGTCAACATTTAGGTTTCTGCATCTATAAAGTCTGATGAAAGATATATCAGTAACGGGGTATATGTTTTCTTTCTTTTTTTATTGCCTTTAATGGATAGTGAGAGGGGGGAGGGCTGACACACAGCAAAGCACCACAGGTTGGAGTCCAACCCGTGGCCACTGCAACAAGGACCCATCCCTGGCAGTGGAAAAACAGTAGCCTAGGTGTGGTCTGGTTCTACCTCCAGTCCTAAGAGTTCATCACACTGGGCTTTCTGATTTGTAGCAAGTGTGTCCTGTTGAAAGTGAAGGGAAACTCTGCAAGTTGCCTTTTACAGACAGGTTGTGCTTTGAAGCTCAGGCCTCCCATTGGTCAGTTCTTTCTACATCCCGCCCACCTTTTACTGCCTGGCTGAAACCTGACACTGCCTGTCACCGCTGCACTTTATTCAGAGCGGAGCCTGGTGGGGAAACTATCGACACACAAATACTACAACTCCCAGCAGCGCAGCAGCTTTATTCTCTGTCAGCTAATCGGAGCAGGTGCCAAAGCAAGCAAATGTTTTTCTTACGACAAAACTCCCTAAACAGCACTACTGGGCTTTACCTGAAAAACACTATGTATCTCAATATGGATTCTCAATCTCAATATGCATATTAGTATTGGGCAACCACTGTATTAATATTGCATTAAGACATGCAACGTGTTTCCAGGGCGTCTTTGTAGCTGTAACTGTGTTTTCTGTCTTCCGCCACTTTTATACTTTTAATACCACCTACACATACAGAAGAATCCACACACTTTCAATCTGTCTGCTTCTCATTCACAGTAGGCCACCATCATACTAATTTAATTCAACTGCCTGTCACAATTTTCAGCAGCTAATGTCTGCTCGGGGCTGATATCTACTCCTTTCCAACAGACGTGTGAAATACACTGACTACTACAGTAGAGCATACAGTGCTCTTTTACACTCTCTTTTTCTATCTATCTGTACCTGACTGATTGTCATCGTGCTCTCTTTTGCAAAGCAGTCTGTTTCCCTCGCGCCTTCTCGCCGCTTGCAGTCAAGCAGAGCGCTGTACGCGCTGCTCGGTGAGACTGGCACGACCCTGTCCCTCGCGTACCAGCTACTTTAAGTACATAGGCTCTGTGGTGGGCCTATAGAAATATAGATATAACCATAATACTTCCGATAACTCAATTCTTATATAGCGTATCAGCCGCAGCATTGTGTTTAAAGGAGACAGACGTCTCAGAAACACAACCGATGGCATCAACAATAACCGCCTATATAGCTCACTCACCAGAAGCCCCAGGTCCAAGAGGGACGGCAGAGTTCGAGAATCCTTATCAATAGGCTATTTAAAAAGAAAACATTAAAAAGAAAACAATAAAGATAAACGAGAACGAGGCTGGGTGGAGCGATACTCTAGCGACTGGTGATGATATACAGCAGCTACAATGAAAAAAACACTAATACACTGAAGCAGAGATAAATAAAGTAAGATTATTGTTCAATCACGTCACCGATTGGAGTTAAAGCCTGGCGAGACTAAGCTGGATAGTGTAGTTATTAACCATGTATAGTCTATTTATACAGCACACGTCGTTTCACTACTATACAGTCGTGTCGTATTGAAACAAAAACTGCTTCGGAATATCTAATTCGTATGCAATTTAAATTTAGTATGCTCAATTCTGACACAAAACCAATTCTGTAATGTCAGAAGTCACCTCTTTACAATATGTCATATGTCCAAATCAAGCAATTATTTTTCCATTACCCTACCCTATTAGTTGCTATTCCCACAGTCTTGCGTAGAAAAACTGAATGGTGGGTGCTAGTCAACAATTTATGAATTATTTCAATTCAACCACTGCTTGGAGTGAAGGTGGTTCTCAGTGGTTCGTAAACTCTATAAAGTAACAGTTAATAACTTGTACCATCTCGGCGAGGACTGCCCTCTAACGTCCACACAAAGCAACCTGGATGGAGACAACCCGTAAATCTAGTTTGTAAAATGACGGATGCTATAATCTCTTTATGTGAGTGTGGATTAAACAACGAAAGGGTTTAAACCCACGCAGGGTTTTCTTTAAAACCGCTACTTTAAGCAGCCTGTCTTCACCCATTCACACAGCTGCCTACTTCACTTCAGTTAAACGCCAAAATGTAATACATTTATAAGCTAATTATACTGGATGCTATCGAACAACCAGATACTTATTATAAACACTGTACTTGAACAAATCAGTAACACATTTATGAATGTGCAGTGTCTCTAGCTCTCTTTCTGTCGTCCTTACCTTGGCGCTGACTTCCCCGCTGCTCTCCACTTTACTGTCCGCCATGTTTGATATAGAAAAATCAATAAATATCCAGTAAGAATGTTGCAAAATTTGTAAAAGTAGATGTAGGCTTTTATTCCGTATGGTTCGGAAGAGAACCGTTGTCCTGCCAGCGGTGTGTATCCACCATCTGGAGCTCCCGCCTTTATAGAGCAGAGGGAGGAGAAAAGTGTCTGGAAGTACAGACTGATTGGTGGATTGGCTTTGGAAATGTTCATCCTGTAATTGGCCAGAGGGAAACAATAGACACCCCTCCCTTGCGCGCGTTACCTCAGGATGGAGCACAAGTTTTTCATCTTTAATCTGTCATTCCCCTTCGTTGTGAGACACACACACACACACACACACACACACACACTTAATCTTACAAATGCCATGTGTCAAAGCTACTTATAGGCCTAATAAAAGTACTCAGGTGTAAGCAACAAATTGCACTTTTCAAAAAGTAAAAAAATGACTGCTTTCAGACTGAAGCATTGAATATAGGCATTTTAATGATGGAGCTGGTCCAGGTGCTGCAACTTCTTTTAACAAAATTGGGTACCTGCAGCTACCGATTATCATATTCAATCAGTGCATCAGTTTTGGAGTTTGTCATATACTTTAGTTTACTGTGTGTGTGGAATCTGTATTTTTTTTTTTTTTTTTTATCTAGTGACATATCCTGAGCAATAGTTGGTTGAGTTCAAGGATTAAAATTGCACAAAGTAAAAAGCAAAGTATAAGTACTACAAAATGAATGTAAAAACTATTTTAAGTATTGTAATTGACTGCATAGTATTTTATTCAAGTAGAAATCAGTAAGTAGTACCCATTGTTTTGTTTTTTTACCAATTATTCTAATTAAGGTTTCATGTAGTAGAACCTTTCCAGTGAGACAACATGCACAATAGCAGCATCCTGACTCTGTTTGACCCGAATGGAACCTTAATTAGTGTCATTGATACCACCTGTGTTTACTATACTACTTTATGTCAAAATGGCTGCTGTGAAAAAGGTCTGTTATTCCAATTAGCCTGATGTTGGTACTTCAACTAATATACCACTACTACTTCTACAGCAGAAACTACTGCAACTATACTGATACTGCAATCACTACTGCATTACACCGCTGCTGCAGTTGTTGCTAACTTTGCTTCTTGTATAGGCTACTACTTCTATTACTGCTGCTTTTTTACTTTGACAAAATCACTGTAGTAATAATGCTAACAGCTATTATTAGGCTATTTGAAGCTACAAGTACTGTTGCTTCTACAACTCGCACTAATTTGAGCAAGTCTTTGTCTACTGGTATTGTTTTAATACAGCTTAGATATAGATATATAAAGAAACAGAGTGGCAGAGTGATGGAGAAAGGGGGAGGGACAGAAAGAAAGAGAAGGGTAAAGAGCACAAGGATGGAGAAAGGGAGGGTGAAAGAGGAAGGAGGGAGAGGATGAAGAAGGAGAGACAGAGTGACTGAGAAATAAAAGCAGGAGAGAGGCGGGAGGAGTGGAGAAGGAAATTGGGGAGAGGTGTGTGGACAGATAGGCCTATTTCAAGCATGTTTATTGGAAAGTGTAGCACACAGAATGAAGTTCAAACACATTCAGGGCGTGATTTATTGGTTTAGTAACATTTTCATGTTGTATCCACGTTCTTCAATGCAAAACTATATAACTAATAAATAATGCCAATAAGATACAGATAACCCAGACAATAAAAAACATAAAAGATACATTTGAAAAAGGAAAATAAACACTGATCGATTATTTGAAAGATCTCTGATATTAAACGGATAAAGATTAAGAAAGCACATAAAGGAGTGGAGACAGCGCTGTGGTCTCTCCCCCCTCACCAACATGGCGGCCTGTAGAGTCCGTATGGCGTCGCGATTGTTGAATATTTCCACTGATTGGTCAGTGAACTGGAGTGAACATAAAGCTGACGCTTTGCGCTCGGTGAGTGGCTGATACAGCTGACGATCAATTTGAGCAGGCTTATGAAAGCTTGCGGGGCGTTTGGCTGCAAGTAAAGGCAGGAGAGGATCTCAGGCAGGATGGACTGGCTGCTCCAATTAAATTAAATTAGTTGTACGAAAATATAAAAACAAAGCATGAGAAAATATATAAAATATATACAAAAATACATAAATATCTCAGCAATTCACTCATTTCTGTGAAGACAAGTAAATGAAATAGTAGAACAATAGAGCAATGAGAAGGAAACACTGAATTTTCAACAAAAAGAGAAGCCTAAGTATGCATGACTGTTAAAAATACTATAAAAAAACAAAATAAAAAAACATAATATAGACAGAGGATTGTATACAAAGTTAATATCTGTTACTCCATCTACAATTCCTGGGGATTGGGACCTCCAATAGGGTCGCCAAAACCTCATGGAGGGTCGCAAGGCCAAGAAAACCTAAATAATATTCACAGTATATTACTGTAATATACAGTGTGTAATATATCCAGTATATTACATTTTATACTGTAGTGTGTAATGTAATGTGTATACACCAATCAGCCATAACATAACATTATGACCACCAGGGCGCCCAGGTGGTCATAATGCTCAAGGGCATCACGGCAGTGCACAGGAGGTGGAATTGGCACCTGTCCACACTCCATACTTCACTTGAATCGGTGACCCTCGGGTTCTAAACCCAAATCCCTACAGACTGAACTACTCTGCTCAAATCCTCACACTTGCCCATTTTTCTTGATTCTAACACATCAGCTTGAGACCAAAATGTTCAGTTGCTGCCTGTATGTATATATATCGGTGTGTGTGTTATTATCAAAAAAGAACACAGTTAAAACAACCAAAGACCTAATAGAACAATGAGAAGAAAACACTGAATTTCTATGTATGATTGTTAAATCAATACATAACACGGACAGCAAATTATATAAAAAGTTCCTAAAAATATCAGGAAAATTCATCTCCGACATATTAATATTTAGAAGATATAATCTCCTCAAAATGCATTAAATATCATCTTTTACACAAACATCTTGCAGTTATTGTGTTCCCTATTTGTGTTCATTCTAAAGTTTATCAGATGTTTGGTGTTATTATTAGACATATTTCAATTAGTTAGTTGATTAGAATTGACAGAAATGGGATCCCTTAAAGGTCCAGTGTGTAGGATTTAGTGGCATCTAGCACTAGAGTTACAGATTGCACTTCCTCACTTCACCCTTCCAAGTGTGAAGGAGAAACTATTATAGCAAAAGGAGGAACAGAAATATTATATATTATTTCTAGCTTTTATCACACTTTTTGGAAGCTGGAACAACAAAAATGGTTGGCCATTTTGTAATTTATAGTCATCCAAGTTTGATCATTAATTGACTAAAAAGACTTGATAATACTGAAACCTAAAAAAGTTACTCAGTGGGGATTCTTTAAGACAGAACCCTCTCAAATTGGGGGTCCATGATCTAATGTGCATCTATTGTGGGTGTCCTTGACATAAAATCCCTGGTCTATGGGGTCATAATATACACTGTGTAGCTGTGACAGCTCAGCAGCAGGGGGCAGCAGTGGACTGACAGTGGACACACTGAAACGTGTTAAGGAGGAACAGACTGCTTTTTGCAGCTATAGTGAAAGAGTAATGTCCTTTATAAAGCAAAATCTCTAGGACGGCTTTTTTTTTATTCACGCAATATTACAAAAATCCAACACATACTTTCACAGACGGATGCAGAAAAACTAATCCATGCATTTGTTACTTCTAGGCTGAATTACTGCAATTCATTATTATCAGGCCACCCCAATAAGTCAATCAAGAGCTACAATTAAATCAGAACACTGCAGCACGAGTACTGACAGAAACTAGGAAAAGAGATCACATCTCTCCTGTACTAGCTTCTCTGCATTGGCTCCCTGTAAAATTTAGAATAGAATTCAAAATCCTCCTCTTCACCCACAAAGCTCTTCATGGTCAGGCCCCTTCATATCTTAAAGAGCTCATAGTACCCTATTACCCCTCTAGAACACTACGTTCTCTGAATGCTGGGCTACTTGTGGTTCCTATAGTAGCAAAAAGTAGAACAGGAGCCAGAGCCTTCACTTACCTAGCTCCTCTCCTGTGGAACCAGCTTCCAGTTGTGGTTCGGGAGGCAGACACCCTCACCACATTCAAGAGTAGGCTTAAGACATTCCTCTTTGATAAAGCTTATAGTTAAGGCTGGCTCGGGTCCTGAACCATCCTTAATTATGCTGTTATAGACCTAGACTGCTGGGGGACTTCCCATGGTGCAATGAGCTCCTCTTTTCCTCTCTTTCTGCCAACATTCATGTCCCATGTTACTAACTTCACTTCTTCCCCAGAGTTTTTGTGCTTTCTCATCTCACAGGTTCTCATGGATCCTGGTGGTGCCTGCTGCCATGGTCCTGCTTGACTCCCACTGTTAATACTACTGGTATTAAGGGGTCCGGTCTTGACCTGCTCTATTTGAAAAGTGTCCTGAGATAACTTTTGTTGTGAATTGGCGCAACTGAATTAAATTGGATTGAATTGAATTTACCATTTACCTTGTTAAAATGATGACCAGAGGTCACCAAGCTAACAAGCTAATCAAAAACAAAAGTAAATACTGCAGTATTGACTTTTCCCAGTAAATGTATACCTATTGTTGAAATGATGGAAAACATGTGGTATGTGCACTTTAAATAGGGTTGACAGCCAAGTAGATCTCCATAAGAAAATAGAAGATATGTTCCGTTTTATGGTAAATGGACCTGTACTTGTATAGCGCCTTTCTAGTGTTCCAACCACTCAAAGCGCTTTTACACTACGTGCCACAATCAGCCTTTCACACACAGTCACTCAGTGATGGCAAAGTCCATCGAACAGAAACTAACTCATTCACCAATGCACGGCAATTTGGGGTTCAGTATCTTGCTCAAGGATACTTCGACATGTGGCACCAAGAGCCAGGGATCGAACCCACAACCTTCCAATTAAGGAACGACCTGCTCTGCCTCTGAGCCACAAGTATTATGGTTTCCTGTAATACTTTGTGTCCTGTTGTATTAATTTGTGGCGAGGAGTGACAGTGTGGATCTGCTGTGACACAAACTATCACTAAGGAGAATTGTTCACCTGGCTACCTATGCCTAATAACAACTTTTACATAATTGGTATGCAGCCACAGACCAC